ACGACCCCTCTCTTTGTGCCGATATGTGTCCTCTCTCTGTGTGTCCGTGTGATGTCTGTCTGCTTGTATGTCTGTCTATAGTTTTCTAGTTAGATTTTTTGTTGCTATTTCTTCTTTTTTTGCCTGATGATGATTGCTTGTGTTGCAATTGAAACGTCGTAATATGCTTTTATTTTAATTTATTATTTTATCTTTAGACGTGACTTAACCGAAAGAACCAAAGAATATTTCCCATCCTTCTTCACAAGGACTACCGGCGCGCCCCATGGACTGTTAGACGGGGATATTATGTCAGCAGCTAGCATGTCCTCCACTGCACCGCGAACCTGATCCCGCTCCGTCGGGCTCAACCGATGCAAGTTCAACTGAATCGGAGCGGCATCCCCCGTATCAATGCGGTGGGAAAGCAGGGAGGTGCGTCCCAAGTCAAAATCATCCGAGGTGAACACGTCGGAATAAATTAGCAACAGCGCGCGAAGCGCGGACCGTTGTTCTCCGGTCAGGGATAAATTCTCCCCGCATAACTCGGCAACCCAACGGTCATCCTGCCCCGTAGGCCCCGAAACCCCCCCTACCATGTCCCGGCGGACCCGGTTGTCATGGGTCGTGAACGCGGTCGTGGCATGAGCCACAACCGTTCCGGCCGGGACACTGACATTCTCCGCACTCCCATTTAGCACCTGTAAGAACGGGGGCTGGCCCAGCCGGACAATCGTTTGTGCCCCAACCAGCACCGAGCCGCCCGTTATAGCCGTGGACGGCGATAACCGAACCCCCGCCGCTCCCTCAACGCCAGGTACTGGCTTCCGATATCTCAACGGGATAAGCATCTGCGAACCAGGTGGAATGTCAACAGATACTTCGGACAGCGCCTGCACCTGGCAAACAGGGGCAGGCTGGCTCCATGGCGACGGTAGGAATGAAATTTTCCGCCCCCCTGGTAATTCAATGCAGTTTTGATCAACCCTTATTTGAATGGGCATTTTTGCCAGGAAATCAGTCCCCAACAAACGGTACCGTGAGGGACCTAGAGATCAAAACGATCCCTGAAGCCGACACCCCCCCAATCGATATGTTGGCGTCCACCTGGCCCACAATGCCCATACTTCCCCCGTTCGCCGCTATGCATGAATCATAAACCGCTCGCACTCTCCCTGGCGGAATGCCCAAAAGATGGAAAATGACATCGGAAATAATGGTCGCGGACGCACCGGAGTCCACCAAAATACGCACCTCGACCCCCTGAATAGAACCCGGTACCGTGGACGACCCCGTAGTGGCCGCAACTACCCTCCGTGCCAATCGGCGCCATTGCGTCAGCGAGCGACACGGGTCAATCGGAGGCACGTCGTTGTTAACGACACACGGACCGCACGGCGATGGTGATGCATGAGGTGACAGGCCTTGCCGGGTGTCTGATGCGCACCGACTTGCCTGTCCTGGCGGGTCTTTTCGCGCGACGTCCGTGGTCGAGGCCTCCTGCTGGGGCGGCCCCGGGATGTGAGCCCAACAGTCCCTGGCGAAGTGGCCCTTACGGCCGCAACGGAAATACTCCACGTCGTTCCGGCGCGCGGCACCCCCTCTGTCCCGACGCTCCGGTGCCGGCGGGCCGGACCTCGACCCCGTCCCCCCCCGAGCAGGCCACTGGGCGGAGGCGGCCGTCAACTCCTGCAGACCCTTGTCGTCAGGAACGTAGACCGCCTTCGTAGGAACCTACCCCGTAGCACCGCCTTCAACGATGGGGCCCCCCATCCAAGCTGACACCTGCTTCCAGCATCGGAGATTAAATTGACCGTCCAAGCACTTAGCCACAGCACGGGACGTCAATTTATCATGGCTGCACACTGGCATGGGGATCCCCAGGTCTCTAGATAATTCCAGCATCTTGCCCAACACAAGGGGCTCCAACAAATCAGCCTCCGTCTCGGGGTATGCCGCCATCACCAGTTCCAGAACTGCGCCTCTGAAAGCCACCGGCGATTCATCAGGCGCCCGTTGGCGCTGAACAAATCTACGATGGGCATCGTCCGGAGGCTCGTACGCATCCGCCATTTCCTCGAAGACACCCTGTAGCGTCTTCTTCTTGTTGGCCTTGATGGAGCAGAAGAACCGGACGGACTCGTCGTCGAGAAGTGTTGGTAGGACTTCCAGGGCCTCCGCGTCCGTCCATTTGGCGAGCGTACGGCCGCTTGAAAACGGCAGGCGAATGCGCTCCAATCGCCGCCGATGGAGAATTTTTTGACCGTTGTTAAATGACAGCTGCGGGTTCTTGCTCCGCCGTCCTCCGATGGTGACACGCGCGGCAGCGACAAGATGGCGTCACTCCGCAACGTGTGCAAGATGGCGGCTTCCCGCGGCGGAGGGCGCAAGATGGCGGCTTCCCGCCGTTCCTCCTCGGCCACGCCCAAGATGGCATCTTCGTGCCGCGTGGTCGAGAGGGCTGATGGCGACAGCAAGGCCCCGGCCCGTTGTTCCCACCCCAATGTGTGCAATTACTATTATAGGGTCGGTAGATAATAAAATTATAGTGATTAGACAGTATTATTGTAGCGCGGGGGGGGGGGGGTTAACGGCCCCAGTACCCAGCCTTAGCCGGGTGGGCAATTTAGGCGAGGCCGGAGGCTCTGCACGGTACTAGGCCTCGACACCCCACCACACTAAAGGCCGTATATATTACTGCACAGCGGCCGAGGAGATCGTGGCTGGGGGGGGAGCAGGGGTAGCAGCCCATCTGTGTATATATGTAAGGTTTTTAAGAAATATATTTTTCACCCGGGCAAAGCCGGGTACTTCCGCTAGTTATATTATATAATTACAATACCCCCCTCTGCCTCAAATCACTGCACCTGAATGAGTTAAATGATGACGTCACCTATTTAAGACCGGGAGCAAGTGAGGACTTCACCATTCTGGCGAATTGCCTGATGATGCTGGATGTAATTACCAGCGAAACGTCGTACTCAAAAATTGTAAATGCTGTGGATTCACTCTTCAACACACCGGTGGGCTAAAGTAGTGAACTATTTGTCTTTTGTCAACGTGACACAATTTTTACTGTTTGGCCATGTCGGGTGGTGGAGGGTTACGACACATTTATAAATAACGTGATCTAACCCAAAAACCTTTATTATGAACATAGACATGAAGTACAACGGAGGTCCTGAAAGATACGAACGTCCAACTTACCAACATCCGCATTTACGAACGAACCATCCGACTTGCAAACTTTCGGTCATGATTAAGAACTATTACATTCAGCGGAGTGATCCTCTGCGATATACAATGAGTCCCAGCATCCCGCGTGGACTCATTGCACCCCTTCTAAGTAGGAAGCCAGCATCGGGATTCAGGTAAACTGAAAATAAAACTGAGTTTTATTCTTATGTTACTTTGATTTACGTCTTATTTTAGTACAGTATTTATTCCATTGCAAATGTACGATATATCTTATTTATGAGTTTAACAATGCTTTGCATTTTTATTGAACCAAACACATTTTATAACACGAATTGTGTGTAGTGTATAATTAAATATTGAGTTCCGAGTTGCAAACAAATCCAACTTACGAACGAGTATCAGAAACATAACCCGTTCGTAAGTTCAGGACTGCTCGTAACTGGTATTGGTCAAAATTTCTCAATGCTAACAAATTATCTGCAAATCACGCAATGGGGATCATGCACGGCAACATCGCCTGCCCCGCCCCCACTGCTGAAAGAACTTAGCAGAACTTTCCTTAAAAAGACTCCACACACTCTTCAAGAATTCTGCCTTAAAACTAAACACGTGTGATGTATGAATGTTGAACTTCTTTCGCGCCGTACATAGCCAACTGTAATTATAATCGGAGGTGGGGGGAAGGACAACAAACTTAACACAAAAAGCATTTCAAAAAAATTAGTTTTCAATCTAGATTTTAAAATGGATATCTTCAGTGGCTCCCTAATATCGAAAGGAGGAGCATTCCAGATGGCCCCAGAAGCACATCTGAAAACGTGTGATGCATTGACCATCTTTGTTTCGGTTTTCTTCCAAGCATGCGTTGACCAATGGAAAGTTGAGTTGCCCTGGTCCAGGGTTTGGCTGGATAACCGATATCAGGAGCAGTATGGCAATGAAGCCGCTCTTCCGTGATCGTGTGAATGTAGGGCAGAATAACTGACCGGATCTGCAGCACAACTATGCGTGAGGCATTGCAACAAGTTACGCTCGGGTAGGGATCGGTATTTCCACAGCAGATCATAGCATAGTGGGTGTGGAACTCACATAGTTTGAACCAGAGAGTCGGCCGATCAGCACTCACTTCTGCACGTTGGATGCTGGGCCGAGTGCTGGTGAGTCCCACCACAGTATCGGCATTAGATGAAATAGAATTGGTTTGTCGATCCAGGACAGAGAAGTTCTGGGTATGGCCCCCCATTATCCAGGGAAGAGGGGAGGCATATCTTGACCAGACCACTCAGCTCGCTCAGCCAGAGTCCCGCGAGAGCAAGGCCTGGCTGCAAACAGACGGTCACTAGCAGCATGAGTCACAGCGTCACCATCGCAAGGTGTTGTTGCTGTTGTTAATGTTGCTGTTGTTAATGTTGCTGTTGTTAATGTTGCTGTTGTTAATGTTGTTGTAGTTGTTATTGTTGCATTTGTTTTTTTCTGTTTCTGATAACGAGTCCATGGCCCCTAACCGCTCCTCAGCTCTCTCCCTCTATCGCTCTTTTTTTTCGTGACCTTCCCCTGCCCCAATCTCTAAAACACACACAGGGGGAGAGTGGGGGAGATGTTTGCTCACAAGGGAGGCAATAATAAACGGGGGGGGGGGGGCAGTCTGCGACACCAATCGTTGCTGACTGGGCCTCGTACAGATCTCCTCTCGCACAGAGCTCCTCTTCTTCACATCTGCTCTCCAGGTAAAGGCAGAGCTCGCTTGGCGCTCCTCAACATGCGTTGCTCCTGGAGAAGTGAGCGCTCATCCAATCAGCGTGACAGGGGGTCATTATAGTATCATGGGAAATATGGGGATGCATTCCCGACATTATTTCTTTGGTATCAGCAATATATAGGAGGGCTTCATTGAGGTATCGGTAATAACGCCAACAATAATAATACGGACGATAAACGTTACCTCTTAAAAAAAAATACAAAATCATAAGTAAGTATTATGAACTGTATTCCTGAATGCATTGTTCTGAACTCCTACAAGGCAGCGGTGGGGCAGCTGCTGCGCTCCCAGTTATATATACGGGGTGGTATTTCTTGTGATCTCTCATTTACTTGATATAGCTCTCGTGGCTGTGACGGTTCCACCTGAAGACGGAGGCTTGTGTTGCTTCCGAAACGTCGTGATTTTTTATTTTGTTTTATTTTACTTTTATTAATTAAAATTTTTACCTACGTGACTTTACCGAAAAAACCTAAGAAGATGCGAGATGCTCTTTCTGGCGATGCGAGACTTGGCCAGATTTTTTTAGAAGGTAAGTAATCGAAAGCACGAATTGAGCAAGGGCACGTAAGTTTCATCAGAGCTATGTATGTATTAACACAATTTGTTTAACAATTGAGCAGCAAAGGGGTGCAAGTCTGCAGTGAAGGTTAAGAACCACTGGTCTAAATGTCTCTGGTGAGGTTTATTTTAGCTGGAGCCTGTAACTCTATCCTGCTCTCTCATGATTTCTCACCTGGCAAAATTTTTTTTTGTTAAACGTAATCGTGACCACGAATCGTGATCATCGAATCGCGGGGAGTGATGTGGTGTGTTCTGGTTGGCTCAGCCGTGCATCTTTCTCATTGGCTAAGCGAATCTTGGGGGCGGGGTGACGTTTCCTAAGGCAGCGCCGCCGAGTGTTCTCACTCGTGAGCGCTTTGCAGATTATTTTTGGATTTCGTTCAAAACGTTCTCCACGACAAAGGGCACTAGAATGAATCGGCGTCCTGTGAGGTCTCGCAAAGCGAGGTTCTGCCCGTGCTATGACTGCACAACAATATTAACCCCAAGGACCCGTTGCCTAATGGATGTGAAGTGCATTGCATTTACTTTTTTGGCGGTCAAGCTCGGCAACGTTTATTTTAATATTTTATTTACTCTCTAGCGCCACTCGGCACGCTTATTTCGGTAACATTTCACCACTTTAATGATGGTTCAACATCTCAGTAGCACAATAATAGACAAAGAATCCCCGTATAGCCTTAACAGGAGCAAGTGCCTTTAGCGAGTAGCGTCTGATAAAGCCGGAACGATTCACGAGGGGGTTGGTGCAGAAGGAATGGGGGAGGTCTGTAAGGAAGGGGCAAACCCCCCCCACCGCTAACCTCCAGAAGTCGTGGTTCCTGTAACTGCTGTTGGTATGTGCGTGTGTGTCGACTCGGACTCAAATGAGTGTCTGGCACGGTGTGTAGTAAACATCGCCACGACGGAGACAAAAGCGACTGCGCATGGTGCTGGCCACCCACCCCCCCGTGTACCGTGCCGGCCTTCGTAGGTGCTGCTCGCTTACAGCACTTGTCCCAACAGTCTGTCAAAGATATACGGGGGATATTCTTTGGGTCTTTCGGTGAAGTCACGTAGATAGTGTTGCACACTTGAAATGAAGGACGTGGGCAAGTGCTCCAAATCGAGGGCAAGCACATTTATTTATTGTGGTTAATATTAATCTTGTGAAGAACAACACCCTCACTCTGCAAAATGCAACAGCACGTGTTACATGTAGCAATTCTTACGAGTCGCCATTAAGGCATTAACCATATGGCTGGTTTACACATCCGGTTATTCATTAACCTCTTTCTCTTAAACCCAATTCTACTACTGATAAACCATCTTTGTCTTTGACAATCACATTTGAACATCACTATTCGAATATTACTTTAATCCTAAGCTGTATGTCTATCTATACCATCCACGTATCTTACACCCATTATATGTACTGTATGTGTACAGTATACTTACTGTATATCACCATTGTACAGCTTACTACTTTACATGTGTTCTATTCTCAATAGCATTGCAAGTAGTCATTCTCTGGGTACATGGGCATGGTTATAGACTAAACAGTATTAGAGTTAGAGAATTACAATGACAGTAACTAATTACAGTGCGTCATCCCTTTACAATGCACAATGCTAAAACGCCTCTAATTGCATATATCACAAACGAACAATTCAAAGCCAATCTTAAAGTCTAGAACAAGTCTAGAACATTTATATAACGATCAAAAACAACCTTTGGGTCCTTTACCTGTAAAATGCAACAGCACGTGTTACACGCAGCAATTCTTCCGAGTCGCCATTAACCATGTGGTTGGTTTACACGTGCGGTTATTCATTAACCCTGCCAGCCACCTACAGGCCCAACTCAGTCATCACATGCTGCTGTACACACATGCATTGATGCACTGCACAGCACATCAGGACTTTCACAGAACCACACTTTACTCCCTTGCTGCACAAGAATATAATTAAAAGAGTGATCCATTCCTAATGTGCCACAATAGGTTAAAATAAAATAACAAAAAACTACGACGTTTCGATCGCAACACAAGCGGTCATTAGGAAAAGGGGGTTAGCTTCTAAAGGCAACTGTTTATAAAGGTTTGAAATGGGCATAGCCCAAATGTCCAGCAGCCATTGTTAATGTAAGTGGTGGGCAGCGATGGTGGTGGGTTTTCCACCAATCAAAGGGCTGCCAGGTAAAAATTTGCGTGTTAATGTAAGATCGTTGACCGGCCTCCACGGCGAGCGCGCCGAGGTGGCTATGTTAATGTGAGATATTCGCATGTTAATGGGAGATCGCAGAGCAGCAACCTCGAGGTCGGCGTGCGAGGTGGCTGTGTTAATGTAAGAAATTAAAATCAGAGAGCCGAAAATAACGACTAACACAGCCACCTCGCGCGCCGACCTCGAGGTTGCTGCTCTGCGAATCTCCCATTAACATGCGAATCTCTCACATTAACATAGCCACCTCAGCACGCCCCGCGGAGGCGGCTCAACGATCTTACATTAACATGCTAATACTTACCTGCCAGCCCTTTGATTGGTGGAAAACCCACCACCGTCGCGGTCGCTGCCCACCACTTACATCAACATTAGCTGCTGACATTTTGGCTACGTCCATTTCAAACCTTTATAAACCATTTCCTTTAGAAGCTAACCCCCTTTTCCTGATGACGACAGCTTGTGTTGTGATCGAAACGTCGTAGTTTTTTGTTATTTTCTTAGAACCTATCTGCGTGACTTTACTGAAAGACACAAATAACATGAATTCTTGCAGTCGCGAAAGCTTTAAGTCAGTGTGCATGGAGATCTTTGCCTTTGTATAGTGGGGAGCAGTAATGTAGCGGTTTGAGTGCTGCTCAATGAACCTGTCGACCCGAGTTCGATTTCTGCTCATGTCCAACACCATTGACGAATATCTGAACCAGTCCTGGGCCTCCCCTAGGTCGACTCAGCCTCAAATTCGTACCTGGTGTGGTGTGTAGTGAACATCGCCACTGGGGAGACAAAGACGACCGGGCGTGGTGCTGGCCACCTACCCCCTCGTGCTGTGCCGGCCTTCATAAGTGCTCGCGAATAACACTTGCCCCTACAGTCTGTTAAGGTTATATGGGGGACCTTTGACCTTGTGAGCCTTCGTTTCTGTGTGTGCGAGTCTGTTAGCTTTAATGGGGAATTTTCATTCCTTGACATTATTAGAAGATTTTGGGCCCAACGGCCCTCATCTCCTGCGTCCTGCGCAGGGCTTGGTGGCCATGAAGGCTAAGCTATGTAATAGCAAAATTTAAACTACTGTAAGGGAGGAAGATTCCAATTTTCTGCAGTGTTTGTCCTTGGCCCTTGTTGGTGGTGACTCCAAAAATGGGACGAATTGGAAATAGTTTTCATGTCATCTACATTGGAAATTTGTTTCAACTGGAGCCAGAGGAATCTGACAAAAATAGCTTTGTCTTGTCGTGAGGTTCACTTGAAACTATGGCTTCGATTATGTGAGTGTTCATTGTCAACATGATAGAGTGTGTTCCATTGTTGTGTCGAAATTCCAACCTTCAGTTTGAGCAAGTGTGGTGGAAATTCAGAAGGGTTGACCCGGTTGATGAATTAAAGCAGAGAGATTCGTTCAATATCCACTGTATGTATCTGAGCTTTTGTAAACTATCTTCAACAGGAAAACGGTTCATCATTCAATTATTCAAATCGACGTCACTGTATTAGCAATGATGGCATGGTTTTCAACCCATGTCGCATCATTGCAGTTATCCTTCAGGCCATCACAAACGAAATCACAGATTATTGAGGTTCTCAGATGACAGTAGGTATTTAGAATTTGAGTTTTGAATTGACTAGGTAATGTATCCATGGGTGCCTTTCAATTTTAAAGGTCCAGTAAGGATTTTGCAAACTTTGTATCATGATTTCCTCCAGCTGTGGCAATTTGCATGTTGGTTTGAGGTTTGAATTTCACCGGATGTGATCAAAGCGCTGTATTCTTCAACATTGCGTCGATGATTTGAGGTCTCCCTCCATGACGAATTGCAGGCAAGATGTGTTTACAATCACCGGCCGACAGGATTGTAAGACCTCCAAAAGGCTTGATATTTGTTTGTACATCTGTAGTGGGTTATTTTATGGAGATGGAGACGTTGAGGTAGAGGCAACACAGTATGTTTATTTCTAACTACAGCAACTCCCTTACGCCCCCGATCTAGGGAGGTATGACCTCCGGGCTCTCGCGACCTAAACACTGCCCCCTGCTGGCTCCCAGCCCTCTGGCTATCCGTGTCCTAGGGGAGGCTACCTGACCCAACCCAGCCAAGGTACGGGTCCCGACCACTGGTCCCAGCTTGGCCCGGCCCTGAGAAGGACGTCAGGCTAGAGGTCCCAGGGTCCTGACTAGGGAGGCTATCCTGACCCGACCCAGCCAAGGTACGGGTCCGACCTCTGGTCCAAGCTCGACCCGGCCCTTACAAGGGCAGCGGGCTCGAGGTCCCAGGGTCCTAGTCTCGCTGGTCTTCAGTCTTCGTAACTCTGCCCTCAACCTGCGGAGAGGTCCGGCTTTTATACACCTCTCTGGTGTGTCAGCCTCTGGCCACGCCCCCTTTTCAGGAGGGGGGGGGGGTCCCGGAGGATTCCCGGACACCCCGCATCCCCCTCCCTCCCGGGCTAGGGATCGTAACGACCTCCCCGCCGGCTCGAGGTACCGCCCCTGATGGGCACTGTCCGCCATTGCGAGTAAGTGCAGTCCATCTACAGCCCTACACATGCGCGTACACGATCCGACGCTAGACATCTTACAATTAGAAACCTAGGCATTCAAAGATAATGCGATGGTTCATACCGATTATATCTATCACCAAGAGATACATTTTTTGTATTAAGTTGTCCGTCGCATCACTTCTGGTGAAGTTGCAAGTGGATTCCTGTTTGATATCCCGAGGTATCTTGAATGAAGAGTTTGGCCATATTCCATCAAGAGTGCCTGCTATTCCTCACGTAGCAATTGCAATGTTTCCCTCGCATCATACTTTGTCAAGGATGACATTAATGGTTTGTGTTTTTCCCGTGCCTCCACTTGCATAGAGGGCAAAGACTTTGTCTTGTTCTTGTGCAATCGATTCCATGACGTGGTCATACACATCTTTGTACGGGATTAAGAGTGAGCAACTTTCTTTGAATCTTGGCTTCAGCTTCATCAAAATTGGTATCCTCTCGAAGACTCTTGGTACTTGAGCTTTCCGCATTACGTTTTTGGATCAGGTGTAGACGAGAAATTTGCATGAAGATCAAGTCCTTATCATTACACTTTTTCTTGAAGATGGAGGAGAACCGTACATTCAATGAGTGGAGTGAATTAGTTAGTTTTGTCGTTGTGCATCAAGTCTTTTCTAAGTTCATACTTACATTTGTTCTAGAAGATCAGTGGTTCAGCCTGAGTGCAGTAGAAGAGGATAGTGGTGAATACTTGACCTAGTTGAGTCCCAAATCTGATGGTATTGACTACTTACATTACTCGATCCTTTGCATTATTATCCTCAACAAGTCCGAGTTTCACATAGGCTGATTTAAAGGTTACAATTGTGCGCAAGTCTTAATAAGAAGTTGCCCCATGTTTGTGATGCAGAAGCGTGCCCAGATAGTGGAGCACAAGACTGCTGTCGACTTCGTGAGATGGAAACTACGTTGTAAATCAGATGGTCATTTTCAGACCCTATTTTGCCATCGGCGCAATCATACATTACTGAACACGGGCTTGAACCCCAAATTTTTCACGAAAAAAAGACATAAATATGGGATTTAGTTAAGTATATGAAGTATTAACCTTTACTAATGCTTTAACATGTTATAAAACAGCCCCCGAGTGCTATAAATTGATTTGGCGAAGAGTGATAAGTGTAGATTGCAGTACTAAACATGATTATTATTACTGAGATTAACACAAATACATTTGAGAAATGTTTAAAATGTGTTTTTTTTACCTTGTATTCTTCCTTTCCTGCAGTGACGTGACCTTTTATTTAAGAAACAAACTGACTTTTTACTAGGTTGCACAGTAGAAACATTGCTGTTCAAATGTCTGCAGAGTCATGTTGAAAGATGCGCAAATGAAGTTTCTGTGTCAGAAATCGATCAATGGTGACCTTATACTGGAAACACGTTGTAAACGTGTGTCACATTACATCCGGTTTTGTAAACAGGATGTAATGTTTCCCAAATGTTAAATCAACATTTTTACTGACATTTAAAATACATAAAATCAATTATCATATTTTTACTGGCAAATGAGGTCCCCATAGTGAGTAATAATGTTTCACAAATTTTAGGTGATCAAAAAGTTGGCTTAAAAATGAGGATGGAGTAACAAATTCACACTTGTTCCAATTTAGTCTTTGACTTTGGTGTATGGTTACAATGTGGGTATGTGATGTGGTACAGTGTGTGGTTGGTCGGGTATAGTGGGGTGAGCAGGGGTTGAGTAAGTTTGTTAGTGTGTTTATGTAGTTAGATAAATGTGTGCACAGGGCTGGTAACACCTCCACCTGGCACTATTACGAAATACCACAGTGGAAACACCCAACTAAGCTTGTGCTGGAGGCCCCAGGGGGACAGGCGTTAATGGCGCCTTCTGGCCAACCCCCATTTGGTGGAGCCAGACTGATCCCCCCCCCCCCCATCTCGGTGTTCCTCCAGAAACAGGAGACTACTGCGGTTGGCAACGTGGAATATTCAAACTCTCGCTGAGGAGGAGAGGCTGCCGTTCCTCTGTCGGGAGATGGACCGATACCGCCTGACCCTCTGTGGAATGCAGAAGGTCTGGTAGATTGGTTCTGGCTCCAGTTGCCATGAGATGTGAATAGTCCTCCACTCAGGACAGGAAAGTGCCAAACATCAGAGAGTGGCATTGCTGATAAGCAACCGAATGAAGGGTTATGGGAGTGTGTAGGCAAGGTGTGGAAAGCTGTGAGTCCCAGGCTGCTTTGGGCTCACTTCCCATCATCAAGAGGCGAGAAATGATGGTGGTTGCTTACGCCCCCATTAAAAACGAACATCAGTCGAGGGATGCAGACAAGTCCAATGAGTCTCTAACCTCCTGTCCCAAGTACTTGTTAAAGTAGCCCCTCGGGATAGAGTCAGCCTATTGGATGACTTTAATACCCGAGTGGGTCATGATGCACACCTGGGCCCGAGTGATTGAAAGGCATGGGCCAAATCAACTCAATAATAACGTTAGGAGGCTTCTAGCCCATGGCCTTGTAATTAGCAACACACTGTGCCAGTATCAGTGTATCCACACAACATCATGGATGCATGCCTAGTCCAAGCAAGAACATATGCTGGACTATATAGTTACCGAGCAGTGTATGCGGGCCCATGGCCTTGACACCAAGACCTACCGTGGAGTGGATTTTTCCACTGACCAACAACTTATCTATAAGATGCCCCTGCCATTCTTCAACTACGGTGGTAGGTGTCCACTACCCCAGTGGAAGAATGGCAGACTCTGTGCAGCTGACACCACCACCACCAACCACGTGGTTTCTCCGTGCACAGGATTAGGTGATGTCTCACCACATGTCCCTGCTGCTCGCTGCCGCTCTACTCTGTGGTCTGGGAGCTCCCAGCTGGTCGACCTCGGAGCCCTTCCGTCCAGACAAATGCAATTGCATGGGTCCACCCGCGCCACGCGGGCCCCCCGGATATCCTGGGCTGCCGGGATCACCTGGTCCAATGGGGCCCCCTGGTAAGGAAAATAAATGCATTGGAACCCCCCCACACCCCCTCCCGCCACCCACCCACTCACTGACTCGCGCCCCTTTTCACCCAGCCAGTCACCCCCCCCCCCACCTACTTGCTCACCTACTCGCCCCCAACTCACCCCCAACTCATTCACCTACCCACTTACTCACTCAGCCACCTACTCCCTCACTCACCTACTCACTCATAAACTCACCCACTGGGTGAGTGAATAGGTGAGTGCGTGTGTGAGTGGGTGGGTGAGTGTGGCCTTCATGTCCGGCAAAACAACCCCCTACCTCCTCGTGGTGCCGGATGGGAAATGCTGTCGTGGGCAGTGCTGTGGGGGGAGGGCCAATTCCGATTGGCCTTTCCCCTCATGGCGTCTGTGACCACCACAGCGGCTAAATGGAGGCTTTGGATAGGTGCGAGGGGCTGGTAACCCCTCCACCTTCAATTAACTACCACTAAACTACGACCAAAAAATGTAATTAACAAGCTTGTGCCGGAGGCCCCGGGGGGAGAGGCGTCTATGACGTCTCCTGGCCACACCCCATTTGGTGGAGCCAAGAGATTGAATTTTTACCCTTGGGGTCCTCCAGAAACAACAAAAAGCCACTGCGGATAGCCACGTGGAATGTCCGAAAGCTCACTGTGGAGGAAAGGCTGCCACTCCTCTGTTGGGAGCTGGACCGGTACTGCCTGGATGTCTGTGGTATTCAGGAGGTCCGGTAGACCGGCTCTGGCTCCTGCCACCATGAGGGGTGGACAGTCCTCCACTCGGGGCAGGAGACTGCCAAACAACAGGGAGTGGCTCTTCTTCTGAACAAAATAATGAAGGGGGCATGGGAGCGTGGTGGTGAGGTGTGAGAAGCTGTGAGTCCCAGGCTATATTGGGCTCGCCTTCCCATCAACCGTAGGCGAGGAGTGGTGGTCGTGGTTACTTATGCCCCCACCGAAGACGAACATCCGTGGAAGAATGCAGGCAAGGCTGATGAGTCGGATGCCTTCTATGACCTCCTGTCACAGGTGCTAGCTAAAGTGGCCCCTCGGGATAGTCATCTTGTTGGGTGACTTTAATGCCCGAGTTCGTCATGATGCTGGCACCTGGTCTGAAGTGATTGGAAGGCATGGGCCATATCAGCTCAATAACAACAGTAAGAGGCTGCTAGATTTTTGTGCAGCCCATGGGCTTGTAATTACCAACACGCTGTTCCGGCATCGGCGCATCCACACAACATCATGGATGCATGCCGGTTCCAAGCAAGAACATCTGCTGGACTACGAAGTGACAAAACAGCGGATGCGGGCCCATGTCCTTGACACCAGGACCTACCGTGGAGCTGATCTACCCTCTGACCATCGACTAGTCATCTGTAAGATGCGCCTGCCATTATTCCACTCCAGTGGTGGGTGTACACCCAGGACCCCATTCAAACCTAAGGTGGCCTGGTCTCAGCTAGCTGATGAAAGTTGCAAGTGAGAATTTCATCATCGCTTGCGGCTAGGGTTGGCATCGTCCCCCACTCCTCCAGATGTCGAGGGTAAATGGGTGAGGTTTAGGACTGTGACTCAGGCAGCTGCAATGGCTGATTTGAGTACGCGGTCCAGACCTCCCCAGAGACCCTGGCTGACAGAGGAGGTGATCAAGCTGGCTGAGAAAAAGCGACAGGCCCTCTCTCATCAGCTACAGCATCCCACGTCGAAGAATGAGGAGGCTTACCGCAGCCTTTGCTCGAAGGTACGGAGAGCCGTGAAGCTATGCAAGGATGGGTGGTGGTCGCGGGTTGCTGAGGAGATGGAGTCTGCCTCAATGGCCCGCGATCACAAATCCCTATTTAATTCCATCAAAAAGTAACCTTCAGCGCCACACATATTACCATCATTAGGGGAAAAAACATGTTTGCAGATTGTCTGGGCATTTCTGTGAAGTCCTGGGGGAGGGGAAATCCCTCGACATGCAAAACATCGTGGGACAAAGTGGGGATGACCCTGCTGAGGCTGCGGTGCCTCAAATATTGGAAGAGGAAGTCACCCCCTGTGAGGCTGTCTGAGGTGCCATCTGTTGAGGAAGTACTGAAGGCAATCCAGAGTCGGAGACCAGGAAAGGCACCGGGCAGAGATGATCTCCCAAGCAAAATGCTGAGGGAGGGTGGCGTTTGTGCACAGACTGCCCTACATGACATCATAGCAGTCTGGACCACTGGACTGGAAGGATGCCCTAGTGGTCTCCATCTTTCAGAAGGGAGACTGCACAGACTGTAACAACTACAGGGGCATCTCACTCCTCAGTGTGCCGGGAAAGGTCTTGGCAAGGATTATTCAACACCGCCTTGTCAGGCACGCTGAGGAGAGGCTTGCGGAGCCCCAATGTGGTTTCAGGAAAGGGCGGTCCTGCACAGATGCCATATTTTATGTCCGTTTGCTACAGCAGAGGTGTAGGGAATTCCAACAAGACCTACATCTCTGCTTTATTGACCTGGTCAAGGCCTATGATACCATCAGTAGGCCTGGGCTCTGGGTTGTTCTTTGTGCTTTCGGAGTCCCTGACCCGCTGCTCACGATCATTTAAGGACCTTCATGATGGTGAGCGGGCCCGGGTAAAACTACGTGGCCGGGAGTCGGAGCCATTCCCTGTTCATCTTGGGGTGTGACAGGGATGTCCTCTGGCTCAAACATTATTTAACATCTATTTCGACCACATAGTTCGTGAAGCCTTCAGTAGCTGTACCGGGGAAATTTTCATCTGGTACAGATACAATGGGAGGCTGATTGATGCCCAGGTGCGGTCAAGGGATTGCTCCCTATTGGTCAACCACGTTATGTATACCGATGACCTGGTAATTGTGGCTCACTCAGAGGAGGAGTTGGAGGCGCTGCTGCTGATAACTGGAGTGTGCCACTAAGAGGTGGGGCATTACCATCAGCCCCACCAGCGAGAGACCTGTTACAACAAGAGGCTAATTTATGTGGCGATGGGCAAGCAAGCGGGGTTTGAGCTGAAAAGGAATTCCATCCCCGGACGCAAGCACGTCAGTTGTGTTAATGGGGGAGATTAGGGAGCGAGAGATTAGGTAGAGAGATTAGCATGAAATAAACTTCCGTCGCTGCATAAGAGTTCGGTCGCATATGCACACCACAGCAGTGTTTATAGATGATTAGCACTATGTTGATGGGAGAGATTAGGCAGGGAGATTAGGGGGATTAGCAAGTTAATGTCATACTCTTTGGTTCTTTCGGTAACGTCACGTAGATATAAAATAAAACAACATAAATCACGATGTTTCGGGCCCGAAACGTTTTTTATTTTGTTTGTGATTTTACTGAAAGAACCAAAGAGTATGGATTCCTGCAGTCACGAAAGCTTAAAATCAAATTAATGTCATGTCTATGTGTAACACAAGCTGCGGCGCTGCCAACTGCACTGTGAGGCAAGCGCGTCGACGCAAGTGAACCACTGTAACGTTGGTTGCGTCAGTGAGACACAAAGCCCATCATACTGTAGTTGAGTTTTTAAAAAAGTTCTTAGCGCATCCAGAAGGCGAGTGGCTTTGATGTGTGCTGTCTAATAGGACATTGAGTTCAGGCTAATAATGAGGGATCTTTGTCTGCGTCTTTGTCTTTGTCTGTTCCACATTAGGTCTACCTGGAATTCCCTGTAAGAGTAGTGAGCAAGGACTTCCAGGTGCGTCCACACAAACTCGACAGCATTCTCTGAAAACATCTTGACTTGCGGCTTGCTCTGTAATTCCTCAACGATTGTCAGATTGAAATTTGCATGAACGACGCATTGTTATGAATCAAAACATTATTACAACTGCAAGTTTTACGATGATGATTATGATTATTAGTTTAAAACTAATAGACTTTACCCTTTCAAGCTAAAATACATGAGATGTTAAGATGTTCAGACACCTATTTTTGCAAGGCGTCATCAAGTCTGCATTCACCACACATCATGCTTGTGGTAAAACATGCAAACAAACATTTTGATAATGTATGCATTGTCTTTGAAACTGATTGGCCTACACCCGAGACAGCCTCTTTTATTGCCTTGTCTCACCACCCGTGTTAGACCAGAGAATAACGACAGAAGGCGAACACTGCAAGGACAATGGAAATATTACAGCATTAATAGCTTGGGTCGAGCAGTTATAGCTATAGGACCTTTTTTGTATCTATGTTATAACATTTTTTTAAATTAAATCATGTTTGTTTTCATGCTTTACCACAAGCATGATGTGTGGTTGATGCAGACTTGCTTGCAACAATGGGCTCGTGTCTGAATATCTTACCACCTATTGTATTTAGCTTGGAAGGGTAAAGCTTATATATTCTTTTCAAAATTTTTGATACTGGCCACAAATGGTCCCATAGATTATTACTAAACTAGTTTACCCAGGAAAAGCTCACAGAGTCTCAAGAACATGTTTTACAGGAGGGTACTTCCAAGTGTTCGCAATAGCGAGTGTTGCTGCTACTCGAACAAAGCTGGTGGTCACCGCATTGCGCGCTTTCAGATGCGCTTCTGCGGCCGTCTGGAACGCTCTTCAGATTTTAGGAAGTCACTGGAGCTATGCACTTTACCATCTAAATTGAAAACTAATTTCATTATAACTGCCTTTTGTGTTTAGTTTGTCTTTCCCCCCTTCACCTCCAATTATCGCGGTTGGCTACGTATGGTGCAAAATAAGTTCAATATACAGTGATACCTCGGTTCACGAACGCTTCGGTTCATGAACAACTCGGTTCACGAACAGAAAATTTCATAAAAATATGCTCCGGTTCACGAACTCCGCTTCGGTTCACGAACAGGAGCCGCGGCCATTTTTATGCTAATTCCAGGCTGTCACATGGTCGTGACTTCCTGTAGGAAGATCGTGGAGAGAAGCAGAGACACAGAAAGAAGTACTGTGAGTACTGTGAAGACACTTTCAGTGACTTTTGGATTTTTGGTGTGCTTTTTAGCACATACAGTACTGTACTACTGTACTGTACAATACTGTACTTACTGTATTGTACAGTTCACCCGTTTGAGTGCTTACTGTACTGGACTCCCAAACAATAACCGCCTCCCACCCACCTCCCACCTGCCTTCCTCCATGTCAGAAGTCATCTCAAGCAAGGTTAGTGTTCTCTCTTTATACATTACTATACTGTACAGTACTACAGTAATGTGTATTGTCATTTGTTTCATATTTTTGTGCTTCAAAAACCAAAAAAAAAGGTCAGAACGGATTAACCGGATTTACATTGAACCCCAAGGGGAAAATGTGCCTCGGTTCACGACCAATTCGGTTCACGACCAGTCAGTTCACGAATTAAGTTCATGAACCGAGGTATCACTGTACATGCTGCTGCTGCTGTGTGTGATCTCAATCTCTTGGAGTGGTGGCACAGCAGTTAGCATGCTGCGCTACGAACCCGGCATAGACCCGATTTAGATTACCGCTCACGGCCAACACCACTAACATCATAGACAATCATCTGAACCGGTCCTGGGCCTCCCCTACTTAGACTCGGCCTCAAATGAGGGGACAGTCTGGTGTAGTAAACATCACCACTAGGAAGACAAAGGAGGCCGGGCGGGGTGTTAGCCACCCACTCCCTCGTGTGCCGTGCAGGCATTCATTGGTGCTGCTAGCTAACAGCACTTGGCTCGGCAGGCTGTTTAGGCTATACAGGTTGTCGTTGATCTCAACTGAGTGACTTGAAGGACATTTTTTAGGAATTTAGATGTTTTGGCCAATCCCTGCTCAACTGTGGAGATGAATCCAGCACGAGGCGTGCCTGAGAATGGCTGCGCAATGAAAACGGACTGTGATTGAATCGCCGATCGTGCGGATATTAGCCAATCAGAAAAAGGGGGGTGATTCGCACGAAGTTATACTAACCAATGGGATTACTCGATCCGTGGATCTCTTACCAACGAATTGACATAGTGATTAACCCTCGATGAATCGATACTCTAACTTGGCTCTTGGGTCGACTTTGAGCAGAATCAATACAATAGACACCTCTATTCACGATGCACAATAACAACAACAACCGCCATTTGCCACTAAGTGGCGGTGACGTCACCACGACGCTTGTGCCACGCTGTGTGCACCTTGAGGCCACGTGAAATGTCGAACGCCCGCTGGCAGGAGGTCACGGGGTAGACCCAGGTACCACGGGTCGACTGACTGAGACAACTGGCTGATGCACCACCTGTGCTCCCTACTGTGCCAACTTGCTGTGCCTTAGCCACCCGGCGCTCCGCTCGTTGTTGTTAGCGTCGCTTCTCCGCCCTTCGTTGTTGTTGGAGGGTGACTGCCTCCAATTGCCCACCAGCGTCCTTCACGAGCCTCCTCCACAGAGGCCGATCTTGACACTGCTGATACCAGTCATCGGCAAGTCCACTCAGCTCCACGTCCTCCTGTACCACGTCACTCCATCTCTTCTCAAGCCCATGCTGCATCCGTTTATCCCCCTCTATCCCCCGCTATCCGGCCGAACAAAAGCTGTTTAGGCATGCGGTGGCTGGGCATGCGGGCTACATGACCCAGCCAACGCAGCCTTGCCTGCTGGAGGAGCTCACCGATGGGACTTTTCCCAGATCTTTCTAGGATTTGTGAGCTCCTCACACAATCCAGCCTAGTTAAACCCAGGATGGATCTTAGGCAGGCCAGCCTAAATATTTCCAATCTGCGAAGATGCTCAATTTGGGGGGTCCACGTTTCGCAAGCGTAGAGAAGGGATGGAATGACTGTGGCCAAGAAGACTTGAAGCTTCGTGTGGAGTGACAGACCAGATAGCTTCCACACAGTGTTACGCATCCGATGAAAAGATAATGCCGCTCGACTGATTCTGAGTGAGACCTCTGCTGTCAAACTGGAGCCGGTCATGAGCACACTGCCCAGGTATGTGAAACTCTCCACTTTCTCCACAACTGCCCCATCACCGATTGGGAGTTGTGGGAGTGGAGTGCCCGATGGTACAAAATACCCAGGCAGGTGCTTAGTTGTGGTGGGGCTGATGGTAAGGCCCTCTTAGTGGCACGCTCCAGGTTCAGCATCAGCACGTCCAACTCCTCCTCTGAGTGAGCGGCAATTACCAAATCATCGGCATACATAACGTGGTTGACCAATAAGGAGCCATCCCTTAACCAATCCTGGGCATCGATCAGCCTCCCATTGTATCTGTACCAGATGTAAATTCTTCTGGTACAGCCATCAAAGGCTTCACGGACTACGTGGTCAAAAAGATGTTAAATAATGTGGGAGCCAGAGGACATCCCTGTCGCACCCCAAGGTAAACAGGGAATGACTCCGACTCCCGGCCACGTAGTTTTACCCGAGCCCGCTCACAATCATTAAGGTCCTTAATGATCATGAGCAGAGGGTCAGGGACTCTGAAAGTACGAAGAACAACCCAGAGCCCAGGCCTACTGATGGTATCATAGGCCTTGACCAGGTCAATAAAGCAGAGATGTAGCTCTTTTTGGAATTCTCTACACCTCTGCTGTAGCAAACGGACCGAAAATATGGCATCTGTGCAGGACCGCCCTTTTCTGAAACCACATTGAGGCTCCGCAAGCCTCTCCTTAGCATGCCTGGCAAGGCGATGTTGAATAATCCTTGCCAGGACTTTTCCCGGCACACTGAGGAGTGAGATGCTCTTATAGTTGTTACAGTCTGTGCGGTCCCCTTCTTAAAGAGGGGGACAACCAGGGAATCCTTCCAATCCTGCGGAACCCGTCCAGTGGTCCAGACTGTTATGATGTCACGTAGGGCAGTCTGTGCACAAATGCCACCCTCCCTCAGTATTTCGCTTGGGAGATCATCTTTGCCCGGAGCCTATTCCTGGGCTCAGAACGGATCGCCTTTAGTACTTTCTCAACAGATGGCACCTCAGCCAGCCACTAACAGAGGGTGACTTCTTCAAATATTTGATGCACCGCAGCTTCAGCAGGGTCATCCCCACTTTGTCCCACGATGTTTTCCATGTCGAGGGATTTCCCCTCCCCCAGGACTTAACAGAAATGCTCAGCAAATCTTCAAACCTGCTCCTGGGGGTTGGAGATTGGATCACCGTTTTTCCCCTAATGATGATAATAGGTGTAGCACTGCAGGTTACTGTTTTTGATGGAGTTAAATAGGGATTTGTGATCGCGGGCCATTGAGGCAGACTCCATCTCCTCAGCAACCCGCGACCACCACCCATCCTTGCAGCGCCTCACAGCTCTCCGAACCTCCGAGCGAAAGCTGCGGTAAGCCTCCTCATTCTCTGACGTGGGATGCTGCAGACGATTAGAGTGGGCCTGTCGCTTTTTCTCAGCCATCCTGAACACCTTCTCTGTCAGCCAGGGTCTCTGGGGAGGTCTCGACCGCCTACCCAAAGCAGCCATTGCAGCTGCATGAATCGCAGTCCTAAACTTCGCCCATTTACCATCGACATCTGGAGGAGTGGGGGACGATGCCAACCCCAGCCGCAAGTGATGATGACGTTCTCGCTTGCAACTTTCATCAGCTAGCTGAGACCAGACCACCTTAGGGGCCGTCCATAAATGGCATCACGCACCTGGGGGGGGGGGGGTCAGACATTTGTGACGATGTGTGACGAGGAGAAATGTGACGTCACATAAATGCGCAACTTTAATAAATGTAGACAACACGTTCTACTTAATTAAATAGACTTTTTATTACATGTTTTCTCCTACAACATCGGAGTGCAGCGCCACATTAAATACACACTACAATGACAATAGTTAAAATCGATTTGAAGCATGTTTTATTTTCAAAATCGAAATATGGTTTTGGGGATGGAGGGGGGCAGAGCTTTGTGACGTCATATTTGAGGGGGATCTGACTTTTTGTGACGCCGTGTGATGAGGGGGAGGGGGTAAAAAATCGTCCAAAATCGCGTGACGTCATTTATGGATGGCCCCTTATGTTGGCATGGGGTCCTGGGTGTACACTCACCACCTGAGTGGAAGAATGGCAGGCGCATTATACAGATGACAAGTCGATGGTCAGAGGGCAGATCAGCTCCACGGTAGGTCCTGGTGTCAAGAACATGGGCCTGCATCTGCTGTTCCGTCACTACGTGGTCCAGCAGATGTTCTTGCTTGGACCCGGCATGCATCCATGATGTTGTGTGGATGCGCCGATGCCAGAACAACGTGTTGGTAATTACAAGCCAATGGGCTGCACAAAAATCTAGCAGCCTCCTACAATTGTTATTGAGCTGATCTGGCCCATGGCTTCCAATCACTCCAGACCAGGTGCCAGCATCATGACCAACTCGGGCATTGATGTCACCCAACAAGATGATTCTATCCAGAGGGGCCATTTTAGCTAGCACCTGTGACAGGAGGCCATAGAAGCCATCTGACTCATCAGCCTTGCCTGCATTTCTCCACGGATGTTCGTCTTCGGTGGGGGCATAAGTAACCACGACCACCACTCCTCATCTCCGGTTGATGGGAAGGCGAGCCCAAAATAGCCTGGGGCTTACAGCTTCCCACACCTCACCGCTACGCTCCCACGTCCCCTTCATTCTTTTGTTCAGAAGAAGAGCCATTATCTGTTGTTTGGCAGTCTCCTGCCCCGAGTATAGGACTGTCCACCCCTCATGGTGGCAGGAGCCAGAGCCGGTCCACCGGACCTCCTGAAAGCCACAGAGATTCATGCGGTACTGGTCCAGCTCCTGACAGAGGAGTGGCAGCCTTTTCTCCACAGTGAGCTTTCGGACATTCCACGTGGTCATCCGTAGTGTCTTTTTGTTGTTTCTGGAGGAGCCCCGATGGTAAAGATTCAGAGACACGCCCCACTGGCAACACCACACCTGCTTTCTTCCATATATGGGCCGAATTGGTGATTTTGTGGGGTGTCCGATTTTATTGACTTACAGTGCAAACACTCAGAGGCACCCACAAACCCACGTATGTGTTGTTCGTTGTCGGGTCCTCTTTTTTATCTTCTTACGTAGTTTTATATCGTAGTGCCTAAATGCAATGTCCTTTACAAAACATAAAATTGTACTCAAGATGATAATGAGATAATAAAGAGTAGTATCTATTGACTATAGTAGTATCCACTGACTATAGTAGTAACTACTAATTATATAGTATCTACTGACTCTGTAGTAAGATCTACTGAATATAGTAGTATTTGCTGACTGTAGTGGTATCTACTGACTCTGTAGTAAGATCTACTGAATATAGTAGTATTTGCTGACTGTAGTGGTATCTACTGACCGTAGTAGTATCTGCTGACTGTTTAGTAATATCTACTGACTGTAGTAGTATTTACTGACCGTAGTGGTATCTACTAACTGCAGTAGTATCTACTGACTCAATAGTAATATCTGCCGACTCTAGTAGTATGAACCAACTCTATAGTAGTATATAATGACTATAGTAGCAACTATGAACTTCATTGTAATGTAGTGTAGTAATTACTCACACTGACACGGAGTAACAGGTCACCTGCTTACACTTTATTAATCCTACTCTCGCACCAGTTGTAGGCACACCTCTGACTGCCTCTCACTGTCTTTACACACGCCGCTTCCTTCTCCTACCCGCTCTCATCTACTCCGCCCAGCATCTGCTCTTCTCTATTTCGCCGCTGCTCCCTGCCCTCACCTACGCCTTCTCGCACCCACTCACCCGTCTGTCCCGGGTGGGGGGTCAGGCAACACCTGTCCGGCAACGAGGTGAGAGGCGAGGTCCTGTTCAGGTCTGAGCAGCAGCGGCGACACGTCTCTTCACTTGGTCCCCGAACAACAACTCCCCTTACACACACTCCTGCTTATATACCCCTCCTCATTCTGAGTCCTCATGTGCCCCAATGCTCACACCTGTTTGTCCCCAATTGCACCCTCTCAACTATGCTCACTACGCACATCCCTTTTCTACAGTAGTATGTGATGACTTTACCAGTATCTGCTGACTCTATAGTCGTGTCTTACCAACTCTACAGCAGTATATACTGACTGTAGCAGTATCTGACTATATCGTAGTATCAACTGACTCTATAGTAGTATCCACTGACTATAGTAGTAACTAACTCTATAATAGTAACTTCTGACTCTATAGTAGTAACTTCTGACTATAGTAGTATCTGCTGAATCTATAGCAGTATAAACCAACTCTGTAGTAGTGAATACTGGCTCTAAAGTAGTATCTACTGACTATAGTAGTAACTACTAACGCTATATCAAGATCTGCTGACTGTAGCAGTATCTGCTGACTCTACAGTAGCATCTACCGACTCTACAGTAGTATCTACTGACTCTCTAGTCGTATCTACCGACTCTTTCATAGTATATATCGACTCTATAGCAGTTAACTACTGACTTCACAAAGTGCCGTTGTGAGGCCTAGTCCCGTGCAGAGCTCCCAGCCTCGCCTAGATTGCCCAGCTGGCCGCGGTGGCACCTTTGCAGGCTGGGGCTGGGCTGCTACCCACCCCCACCATCCCCCCACCCGCTCTACAGTAATATTATCTAAGGACTATAATAGTAGTATCTACTGACCCTATAGTAGTAAGTGCACACATTGGGGAGAAGAGGACATCACACTGTGAAGAATTTACCTTAGCGTTGTGTATTTTTTGTTGTTGCATTTTTAACGCGAATGAGAACTCCCCCCACCGATCGTGTGTGTGCATTATTAGTGCAACCACCACCGCTTGCCGGCATTCTCGCGCATGCACAGATGCGTGCTCTAGTGCCACCCTGTGCTTATAAAAGGGAATAAATTGTTAATTAAACTACTTTGAACTTGACACATGTGAAATACGAATAGCACTTTTTCGGAATGCGGCGTGGTATCCGTGTACTTTTTCGATACCTAACCCCCATAGTTTGTCAGTTAAAAACGTCTCGAGGTACCCGCGCAGACAGACACACAAAGAATAACTTTTATAGGTAAGAAGAGTGAGCAGTATAAACAGTCGGCGATAGTAGTCAGGGAGGCAGTGGAGTTTGGGAAATAGAGCATCCATACTTTATCCAACAATTCCACACTGGAAGCCCCAACACCACCCTTAACCCGACCCTTTTCACATTGGCAGCACTCAATTTATAAATCCCCCCCCCCCCCCCACAAACCACTCACCCCTCCACCCCTCCACGCAGGCTGCTCAGGAGCCTCACATTCGCCGCTTGCGTTCTCCGTCAAACTCTCCTCCACCTCGGATGCTTCCATCGGCGTCACCATCACCGTGCCGCCGGGGGGCGTCTTCCACTTCGACTCCGTCGTGGTCAACGGCCAGGGCATCTACGACACCCACTACAACAACTTCACGAGCCCCGTAGCCGGACTTTACTTTTTATCCTTCCACCTCACCCTGGGGGGACCAGGAGAAGCAGGAGTGAGAGGAGCGTATGTGAGGGTGGAGTTGGCAATGAGCAAGGCGGGCGCTGCCAGTGAGAAGGGGAAGATTGTGGCGAATTTCGGTGGCAAGACTGACGAGGAGATTTCTGGCAGCGCCGTGGTTGCGCTTGCCGCCGGAGACTCCGTGTGGCTGCGCGCGCATGAAGGGAACGCTGCCAATATGGTAATTGTGCCCAGGGAAGGGGGGGACAGCATCTTCTCCGGGTTTCTGCTCAGCTACTGAGTGGGGGAGTGGCAGGGGTGGTAGGGAGTGCAGGTGAGCGACACCACGGAATGGGAGGGGGGAAAGAGGAGGGGGAGAAGGAGGGGAGTTGATGATAGAGGAAAAGAGGGGATGGGTGTGGAGGGCAGTAGAGAAGAGAGGAGGGGTGGGAAGGGAAGGGGAGAGGTATTGCACTTTCCACACCATGGCCACATTTATTTGACCTACCCTGACGCCGTTCTTTAGTCTGTGATCGAGGCGTGTCGTCTTGATATAATTCGTGTTGATGTCTGTGCGCAATGAGCTGCCTCAGGCGAGAGGTGAAACTGGCAAATAATTCATTTACAGTGATCAACGCACAGCAAATGCTTATGGAATAAAAAAATATCTGCTGCAAAAATAATTAGTGTGGCGTGAATGGCTAACTCGGTATATCTAACCCTACAAACAACGATCACTGTTCACTCCAACCATGAACTTTAATTTTATCAGGTAAGGCCGACTGTGCTATATAGATATTTTTGAGACTGCGTCCTGGCCACAAATGATATCTCAACGAAGTGGTTTATCACTTGGGAATTTAAAGTGGTGAAATACTCTAAACGTGCGTCAATTGAATGTCTCTCATAAAGAGAGACATGCAAACTCCAAATATACAGGCATCAGGGTCGGGATTGAACCCACAACTTCCTGCATACCAGGCGAGGGAGATAACATTTCGCCACTATGGCACCCCTAGCAGCACTAGGCCTATGCTCGTTTACCTATAAACACTGCAGTGAGTCTCAAGACTCTTTTTCGAGTATCCTGTCACGTTTTTCACAGTAAGGGGCGGTGTTGCTTTTAGTGAGACCCAGAGCGAGGCCCAGAGTGTGGTGCAGAGTGATGGTCATGTAGCCGGCTCGCCCTGTTTCCTCTCCCGTGAATCGTAATGAGGGGGACAGTTTGGCTAAATAGGCAACACAAATTTTGACTTAAAACTTTCGTGACTGCAGGAATTAATATTCTTTGGTTCTTTCGGTAAAGTCAATTAGATAGAAAATATAAGCCATCACCTTGCTATACATAGCAGGGGTAACCAAAAAGATTTCCAAAATCTTGAACAAACACAAGATCCAGGTCCGATTTAACACAGTGCATAAAATTCATGATCTGATCCCATCTGTGAAGGACAAGATTCCTGACATGCAATATCCTGGCGTCTACAAACTAAGCTGTGTCTGCGGCAGCAGTTACTTTGGGGAAACTAAACGACATGTCTCGAACCGTGTTCGTGAACATAAGGCAGATCTGAAACACGGCAGGACCAATACTTCTGCCGTGGTTGATCATTACTTTAATGCGGCTAGCTCACGTGAAATTGATTTCTCTAAGACAATGGTACTTTGCAAGCCGACTGGCTATTAACAAAGATTCGTTCACGAAGCTATCCATATATACAGTCACAGACACAATTTTAACCGAGAGGACGGTTATAAACTCAGCAATCATTGGAAATATGTCATCAACCACTTTGGGTCATGACTTGATTTGTGTTTTCTTATCAACCTCTATCGTCAGCAGTGTGGATGTGTGTAGCGAAGTGCAATGCCCCCCCCCCTCTCTTCCCCTATCTCTACCCCCCCTCTCTCCCCCTATCTCTACCCCCTCCCTCGCCCCCCATTGTCTAACACACTTGGACTGCGCCCCTCGCCGCTCAGCTCGACCTCTATCTCGCGCTTTACTCCTATATTAGCATTGGCTGCCCCGCCCATGCTGTTAACATTCTTGGACTGTGCTGCTCGCCGCGCAGCTTCTTTGCTGCTGCCTTGCAACTCTCGTCCTCCGCCCACTCACAACTTTGGAAGCCCTTATAAGCAGTTGCATTTGGAGGCTTGCCCCCCATTTTCTCTCTGCCTGATGAAGACCGCTTGTGTTGCGATCGAAAGGTCGTGGGTTTTTTGTTTTTATTCTTAATTTTATTTTCTATCTACGTGACTTTACCAAAAGAACCAAAGAATAGGCAACAAAAATAATAAAGTTTGGAGACGATGAGTGGATACTCTGCGTTGTGTTCTGTCCTCCTGAGACGTGGGCGATGCCACAACAGATGAGTACCGGAGGTTTGTAAAACGGTGACATTTGAGTTCAAAGTGTTATTCCAATGAGCATTTGCATGCCTGCAATAATGACGAGACACGGGCCTACATCACCCTCCACGTCACAACACCCCAGCTCAGTCCCTCTTCAAGGAGAACACCTGAATTGAATTAGAATTTGGAATGTGCCCGATACTCTGAATTGGTTCCACACTGCTGGGCGTGGCCTGCCGTGCACGTGAGGCTTTGGGCTCTCATCTCTGTTAATCATTCACTGCCTTCACTTCTTCTTTCGTATGGCATTGTGAAAAGCAACAGTTAATGTTTTCCTAATTGTCACAAATGAATGCAAACGTTCCTCATCCAGTCCAATTATGTGGTTGACGCAGTGTGGATTTCAGCGATACCGCCAGGATGTGCATGGATGGAGCATTCATCGGCGATGTGCTCGATGGTTTGGACTTCTCCACAGTCGCAGTTGGGCGATTCTTTGATCTTCCATTTATGGAACGTGTATGAGCATCTGCCGTGTTGTGTTCGAGCGCGGTTCAGTGTGGTCGTCGTGGAAGAGAGAATCCTGCAGGAATCTATACTATTTGGCTCTTTCGGTAAAGTCACGTAGGTCGAAAAATAAAAAATCAAATATATAATGACGTTTCAATCGCAACACCAGCGATCGTCCTCATGCAGAAAAAATAATCCAGCAGAACTGCTGAACCAGGAAGAACACAGCGAGAGAGCTGCTGCAACAAGAGGTTATATATGTTGTCCAAGGGCAAGCAGGCGGGGTCCGAGCTGGAATGGCGTCCCATTCCCACACGCAAGCACATCAGTTGTGTTAATGGGGGAGATTAGGGAGAGATAGATTAGGGAGAGAGATTAGCATGTCAAAGTAAATGAACTTCCTTCGCCGCATAAAATTACAATGGATAACCATGGCAGATGCGAATACCTGAGGGACAATTAAAACGCTCCAATGTGCGGCTGGTCATCCAGAACAGTCCGTACAACGTATAACGATGCAATGCCCAATCCACAAATACGAAGGAGTCATCACAGCAATTCACTCTGCTACTCTTGTCGCGGCTATCTGGCTTGACCATCTGAACGTGAAATTATAGTTGTTGCTCTGCATCTAGCTCAGTAGCCACACGAAAGAAGAAGACTAGGGCCCCCTCACTGCCTCAATCTACTCATCATCACTGGCTCTCCCATTAGTGTCTAACCACCAGCAAACCTTGGCTGTCACCCTTCATTTAACGCTCTGACCGATGCTGACAGTTGCCATAAAAACACACTGCCATGTAGCATCGTTGGCTGTCTTCTGGACTATTGTAACACCATTCTTGTTCAGATATCAGATTTTAAAATATAAAAATTGCAGCGAATCCAAAATAGCCTGAAAAATACTGGCTTTGACACCAGGCACAGCCAGAATCATAATATTTTCAGAATCATAATCCTGGAGTAATCTAATGAGCTATGAAGCTCCACATTGCCAAGCAGTGTGGACTCCGCGACTGCACTAACAAACACCTTGCGCTTGCTGCCTGTCAAATCCAGAATCGCAGACAAAATTATCCTTCGTCACCATGACGTCTTTCAAATTCAGTCCCCATATTTCTTTGCTTTCCTTAAAACTCTGCGCACGGAGAAGTGCCCTGTTCTACGTGGCATGTCCCAATATTTGCCAATTGTTCCCATAATCAGGACTGTCATGGCTTGGGCAGTGTTTCTCAGTCGCTGCTTACATCATCTGGAACTCTCTCCCACTCCATGGGCAATGTGTTCAAACTCCCATCGACCTTCAGGAGCTGTTTGAAGTTGCTGCTGCTGCACTTGTGGAGCCTGGCACACGAAAACTCATGACCCCCTGTATGCCGCACCTCCGAGTTCGCAAATAGAACGATAATTGTATCCTTTTCGTGAAATCTGTGCGACATTACAAATAATTTGATCATGATGAAGGTACAAGGAACACTCCCCTGAGCCATCCCCACTCACACACGTGCTCCATCTCGATTTTAATCACATCCTATTTTAATTTGAATCGGTACAATCGATGATAAATCAAAGCCACTTGACCAATCATCAGGCGCGTGGAGCAGTTTGTGATTAATTTGAAATTTACAGGAAGTTGACTGCGCAGTTTGGTTATGCATGTCCATGTGGAGACAGTAGGGAGGGGTGGGTGAGCCACTGGAGCTTTGTGGCTTCGTAGTTGCAACATTTGGCAACTCCTCTGTAGTTAGTACACCACAGCTGTACAAAGCAGTCTTGGTGTTTCCAAGATGGCAGCAAACTTTTATTGGCGGGGACAGCAAGCGTCGTGTGATGAAGTGACATTTGCACGAGTTTGCTGATGCGTGTCTCTGTTGCAGATGTGTGGTTGAGCAGTGAGTTCGGTAGAGTGTCGATCATGTGAAAGCAAAGGCACGCTACTAAAAACTTCCACTCATTTGACATCAAGGCATCTCAACACCGACGGGACAAATACGTATACGTAGCAGAACGCTTTAAAAAACAGGGTTAAATCGGTTACACTTTCACATTTTGTCGAACATAATGAGCAGCCTGATCCTGAACTGTGCTCATAAATCTGCCCATGCGTTTAATGTGTTGTTTAATGTTTTGTATGTATAACATTGCTATCAATTGAGTGTCAGATGTACGCACTTCCACTTTGCTTTCAACGTTTCTAAGAAACAAAAGTGCTCCTTAACTTTGAACCAACCTCATAAGACGCTCGGTGCAAGTTGAAAAGCTGTGATGCATAACAGTTAATGCACGCGACAAATGCCATGAAAAGTAAGAGCGCATTTGTAGAAATAAACTCCACTGCATCATCCCTGACCACCCGACGCTTAGTAGCTGGTTCTGCACGACACCTTGGAGCAGTACTGGAATTTCCAGCGGCGGTCTCTGTAGGCATGAGAATAGAAAGCAAATAAATAAGATTGCACACGCACATTTATCCTTACTGACCCCGTACCCCTCTGAATATCTGTGATAAAGAGCTTCATAGCTCATCAGATTTCTCCTCGAGTCTAAAGATTCTGATTATTTACATTGAGGCACGGGGACGCCCTACATTGGGATGTTTGGCCAACTCCATCACTGAGTGTGTATACCACGTGAGAGTAGAGCGCAGTGGCCATGAATGCGGCGATGGCAATCTCATAGCCCAGCGGGCTAGGGAGACACTCGTTTGGGGCTGAGTCGACGTAAGAGAGGTTCAGATTCATCATCACTGGCGTTGGCCGTGAGCGGGATTCGAATTCGGGCCGCCGGGTTCGTAGCGAAGTGTACTCACCACTACACTACCGCTCCCCCATTACTAACGCACACAGTCTGCAGAACATGTCAGAGAACATATAAACGCAACACAGGCACCCGTCATGCTGTGATGCACGAACGTGACCACTGTGCCGCCACCCAGCCGCCCAATGGCCTTTAACATTGAACGCCATTGGAGCCTTTAACGTTGAACGCCATGGGAACCTTTAACATTGAACGCCATTGGAGCCTTTAACATTGAACGCCATGGGAACCTTTAACGTTGAACGCCATGGGAGCCTTTAACGTTGAACGCCATTGGGAGCCTTTAACGTTGAACCCTGTGGGAGCTTTTAACATTGAACCCCAGGGGCGATGGATGCACTCACTCGGCGACATTGCAGTGGTAGCTGTGCACCCCGGTCAGGTAATGGACGTCCGGGGCGACCCAGAAGAGCAGCAAGTGGAAGTCGTTGAGGTAGTCGGTCCACTGGCACACATCCATGCAGACGCCGGCCTGCATGGTGCAGGTGAACTTCCATCTGTCAAGGTCACGATCGCCAATAAATAATTCGGCTTTACCCTTTCCAGCTATAACAAAGCAGGCGTGAGGCGTTCAAACACCGAATAGACACACTCATTATTGTAAGGCATCGAGTCTGCATTCACCATACATCATGCTTGTGGGAAAATATGCAAACACGCGTGGCCTTGTCTCCGCACCAGTAGTAGACCAGAGAACAACGCCAAAAGGTGAACGGTACATGGACAGTGCAGACTAACGTGCTAATAAAACGGTGATAACGTATGGATTAAATCTTGACTTAAAGCTTTCGTGACTGCAGGAATTGATATTCTTTGGGTCTTTCGGTGAAGTCGCATAGATAGGTTCAAAGAAAAATAACCAAAAAAACAGATAAAGTCACGTAGAAAAATAATAATAATAGATCACGACGTTTCGATCGCCACACAAGCGGTCGTCCTTTTTTCCCACCTGAGGACGACCGCTTGTGTGGCGATCGACACATCGTGATCTATTATTTTTCTACGTGACTTTACCGAAAGATCCAAAGAGTATAAAATGAGGGTACCCCAATGGGTTCTCCCTTATCGCCAGTGTTAGCGAATGTTTTCATGGAGAAATTTGAGACAGATGCTATCCAAACCTCCACCCTACGTCCCTCCTTGTGGAAGAGATACGTAGATGACACGTTCGTCATCTGGCTTTTGCGTGTCGTCTGCTGGCTTTCGCGTACTTTTTGCAAATTTTAACTTTTTGCAAAATGTAACTTTGAAGAAAAAATGCGTATATTTATGGTATTAAACGAGAAAATACATTAATATTATACAGTACTGTACATATATTTTATGCATTTATGAATCACTAAACTTTCCGTGTGGTCTGCTGGCCTTCGCGTGTCGTCTGCGGCCTTCGCAAAACTCCAAAAAACTCCCCAAAATATCCGATTTAATTTCTTATGCCGAACCCGCGATATATCGAAACCGCGATGGGGAAAGCCGCGATGCAGAAAGGTCGACTGTAATAATCATCCTCGTCGTCACCATCATGACCAGGGGTCGGCAACCCGCGGCTCCAGAGCCGCGTGTGGCTCTTGAAGGGACTGCTCCGTGACGTTAAGCATTGAAGACCACCGTCTCATATTCGCCGTGCATTGCAGCTCTTGAAATTAACCTTATGGCGGGACCCCGGTGTCTCGAATAAACGGAAGTAAAAATCGTAATTAATGTATTTATTTTGGCGACTCCGTCCCATCACGCACATAAACGCCGCGACCCACAAGGCACGGATCATTCTGTTGTCATGTCGTCCAAGCGCAGCGAGGTCGAATGCGCAAAAGAAACAAAACTTTGATTAGCGCATCGTGTAGAGCTCGTCAAGAGGAAGAGATTGCCGTATCGTTCGCCTTCAACATACATACAATTACGTTGCAACGCAGTTTATGCGAAAGCCGGGGGCTTATAGGACCCCGGGGTTAAGGTTCAAATATTGAGGTTTTTTACAGAATGAGAAAAAATATTGCTCTTCTTGTTAATTTGGTTGCCGACCCGTGGCCATGACCGTAATCTGAAATGGAATGCATGGCATGGTGTTGTCATTTACAGACTAGCAGAGAGACCTCACTGCCAAGTCAGAATTAGCCATCAGAAGGCTGCCCATATATGAAACTCCTCCACTCTCTTCACGACTGCCCCAATCACCCACCCACTCGCACACTCACCCACCCGTTCGCATAAACACCCACCCATTCACACAATCACCCACCCATTCACACAATCACCCGCCCAGTCACCCACTCACTCACCAACCCACTCACTCACCAACCCACTCACTCAATCACCCATCCACTCACCCACCCATTCGCACGATCGCTTGGTACGTGAGTCGGCAACTAAAGAGTCAACATGCGGAAGTGGGGCTAGATTAATGACAGGCCAAGCCATAGCCATCATCGTCATCATGTGCCATAGTCTGTCACTCCTAGCCAGGGCCGGATTCTGACATTGCCGAGGCCCTAAGTTGCGTCAAGCTTAAGAGACCCCCTTCGAAGAGTTCCTATACAGGTGTAGGGGTGTTAAAGAGAGGGCCCGTTATGCATGGCAGCCTATGGAAAACAAACACAGTGGGCGGGGCTACGTAAGTGCACGAGGAGGTGCCCTCTACGACGTCCGAGCCAGACACCCTGGGGGGGGGCTGGTTCGAACGTTATGATCCCCCGGGGCCCCACTCCTCAGGGAGGGGTTGGGTATAAAAGGGGATGTTCAAAGGGCTCGAGTCAGTTATGTTTAAGCTAAGGGAAGAAGACTGAAGACGTCTTAGATAGAGCCCTGGACTCCCCTAGTTCGATGTCCTTTTCAGGGCCGGACAGGACTGAGCCAGCGGCGTGGTCCCGGAAGCCAGAGCCGGTGCTCTTGTAAGAGCTGGTCTGGAACTCCGGGTACCGGGCCCGACTTACCAGTGTCGGGCCAGTTAGCCTCCCCTAGCCCATTAGTGGAGGATTCGGGGCTAGGACAGAGTTAGCTAGGGGTGTATCCCGAGTTATACGGGTGAGGGGGCCGATACCCCCTCGAGTGTGTATATGCCCACTGTCGTATTGTGAAATAAATATACGTGTGCCTCAACCTCGGCGTCAAGCGTCTTCACCGGTACTTCACAGGCATTCATCTTATAGCGCTCAAGATGCGTTCTTTGTAAACGGAGCGTTATATGAAACAGAGCTTATAGGAGGTCATTATAACATCAGAATCAGAAGATGATCCGAAAAAACCAAAGAATAATTCCTGCAGTCACGAAAGCTCCAAAATTAAGATTGAACCACTTCTACGGGGAAGTTCCAAGTTTACCTTTTTCTCTCTCTCTGGGTTTCTTGTTCTCTCTCTCTGCCTGTATATTTAGTGTAATTTTCTCTGTCTACACTCGTTTTGTATCGTTCTTAGGTTCTGCTCTGTCTGTGTGTCTCCGTTCCTCTTTTTTATGTTTTGTCTTTCTTTGGAATTTTCACACTTAAATTCTAACTTAGCAATCTTTGAAATACGTAATCGACCAGGCAATGCGTTAATTGTGTGTTGACCGACTCTCTGTGTCGTTTTACATAACATTTCGATACTTTGCTAGGTTATTTAATTTAGTGTGTTCTGTCTCCCTCTAAGCCTGCTTACCTTACTCCCCTCCCTTCGTACTCATTGACATGTAAATGTTTTCCCTACCCCCTCCCTCTCTCTGCCTCCGCCCCCCTCTGTCTATTTAAGGCCACCCCACAGAGACGATCACCTCTCTCTGTACCTGGGTTGCTCTCTCTATGTATCTTGGTGATATCTGTCTGCTTATATGTCTGTCTATAGTTTTCTGGTTATATTCTATGTCGCTATTTCATTATACCTGATGATGATTGCTTGTGTTGCAATCGAAACGTCGTATGCTATTATTTAATTTATTATTTTATTTTTATACGTGACTTTACCGAAAAAACCAAAGAATAATTCCTGCAGTCACGAAAGCTCCAAAATTAAGATTGAACCACTTCTACGGGGAAGTTCCAAGTTTACCTTTTTCTCTCTCTCTGGGTTTCTTGTTCTCTCTCTCTGCCTGTATATTTAGTGTAATTTTCTCTGTCTACACTCGTTTTGTATCGTTCTTAGGTTCTGCTCTGTCTGTGTGTCTCCGTTCCTCTTTTTTTGTGTTTTGTCTTTCTTTGGAATTTTCACACTTAAATTCTAACTTAGCAATCTTTGAAATACGTAATCGACCAGGCAATGCGTTAATTGTGTGTTGACCGACTCTCTGTGTCGTTTTACATAACATTTCGATACTTTGCTAGGTTATTTAATTTAGTGTGTTCTGTCTCCCTCTAAGCCTGCTTACCTTACTCCCCTCCCTTCGTACTCATTGACATGTAAATGTTTTCCCTACCCCCTCCCTCTCTCTGCCTCCGCCCCCCTCTGTCTATTTAAGGCCACCCCACAGAGACGATCACCTCTCTCTGTACCTGGGTTGCTCTCTCTATGTATCTTGGTGATATCTGTCTGCTTATATGTCTGTCTATAGTTTTCTGGTTATATTCTATGTCGCTATTTCATTATACCTGATGATGATTGCTTGTGTTGCAATCGAAACGTCGTATGCTATTATTTAATTTATTATTTTATTTTTATACGTGACTTTACCGAAAAAAACAAAGAATAATAAGAACAGGTTTTCATCTGAGGACGGCCGCTTGCGTTGTGGCCGAAACGTCGTGAGAATTAGTTTATTATTTAGTATTTTTTTTTATTTTATTATTTCCCTTCTACGTGACTTTACCGAAAGAACCAAGAAGATGAATCCCTGCAGTCACGAAAGCTTTAAATCGAAAAGTAGAGAGAGTGTTAGAGTGGTGATCCCCAGAGAAGAGACACCATGGTTCGTTCCATAACTTTGGAGCAACAGTAGCTGAAAAGCTCTTGAAGCAAATTGCGTATCGGAATCATAGAATAAAAAATCAGACACGCGTCGCAGATTTTTTGTGGGGGGATTTTGTAAAGGCACTAATACATCTGACATATAAAGTGCAGAGCTTTGGATACATTTCTTTATGAATGAGCACCGCCCAATGATAGCTTCTTCGTGCTTCCAGAGACATTAGCCCAGTCATGGAATCAGGTCTCAATGATGCGTCCTATACGGAGCATGGTAGACCGGTTAGGTTTGTTTAAGAGTGAAGACAAAGCAGCCCCGTATGCAACGTCACAGTAGTCAAACAATGAAATAACGATACTCTTTGGTTCTTTCGCTGAAGTCACGTGGGTAGAAAAAAGAATCGATCACGACGTTGCGATCAAAACGTCCTGATCGATTATTTTTTCTACCCACGTTACTTTACCGAAAGAACCAAAGAGTATGGATTCCTGCAGTCACGAAAGCTTCAAATCAAGAATGAAATAACTGCATCTTGAATAATCTTTCGACGGATTAAAACAGGAAAGCAAGCGCTTGTGTCTGTACACGTATCCTTACATTTAAGCTTGTTGAATAACTGATCAATATGCATATGAAAAGAGGAAGATGAATCAATAAAATAAACTCGAATGGTCAGTCTGTTCAATGATTTGTCCATTCAGTGCCACAATCGAGAACACCACACGTCTTCTTCGGATAAAAAGCCATACATTTAATTTTACTCATGTTATGAACAAGTTTTAAAGTTAACAGTCGTACTTGAATAACCTCAAAATTATTTTGCAAGTTGTTGTGCAAATCATTAGGTGAAAACCCTTTAGCTAATATAAAGTGTCGTCTGCAAAAATGTTTGTCATTATTTTAGACCATTACCTAAATTATTGATATATGAATCCTGCGGCACTCCTTTTGATATCCTAATCTGACCAGATGATATGTTATCAAAAGAATCAACCTAATGTCGACATGGTTCCAAAAGAGATGCGCTCGTAACGTGGTATCCAGAACCTAAACAAAGGATGTTCAGTAACCCATTGCACATCAATACTGTGCAACCATCGGTATGAAAAGTAATTGCATATTATTGATATATTACCTTGGATATTATACTATATGTATTATTAGTTGTTTATCATGTAAAAATTTGCTTACACCTGTATATAAAAATGTCGCCATAAATACGGTATGTGGGGGGGGGGATATATTGCTAGAGTACACAAGAAAGAGACGAGCCAGTCAAGGACGCTTACGCTTGGACGCAATCTAGCACCTGCATGTTCGCCGTGCAACATAAACAATGTTGGGTCCCAGTGGTAAAGTTGGTGAATCTCGAGAACGTTGAGGTACTCATAACTTAGAAGGGGATTGGGCATCAGCAAGTTGAGTACATTCGAGCGAAAGTACGTACAGCGAGAGGACGTAAATGAGTTACATCTGACAACGTGACGTCGCAGCGTGAAGCCCCCCAAAGCGCGGGGCCCGGGGAGGTCGTCCCGATGATTCACCATACCCGAGGGACGGCTCTGGTAGCGGGATCCTCTTGAAAAAGAAAGCCTTGTGACTCAGTAAGGGTTTGCAAGCTAATTCAAGGGCAGTACAACACCATTGTTTAGCCGACCGCTGGTGGTGGCTGTGCACTCCGCCTGCAGTAATTCAGTGCTGTGGAGGCAGCAGCTTATAGCAAGGTTACACGGTATGCGTAAAACGGACTGGGTATCAGTAAGTTTGAGTTACGTTATTTCGAAAGTATGCAAAACGCGAGGGCGTGAATCAGGGTGTTACTTTATTTCAAGCGCCAACCTCAGAATCTTTATTTATCAGAAGTTTTAATTCGAAATCCGATGAGCTGTGGGGGTCTTTTTCCACAGGTGTCCAGAACCTCACCTGCGATCCTCCGCCCAGTTGTCATGGTAGCTCCCTATAGCCGTGACCACGGAGTTGACGGGGCAGGTGAAGTTAACCTCCCCGTCGAAAGCGTTCACGTAGTCGCCCTTTTGGGAGGAGATGGAGTGGCTCGTGTCGAATGTCGGCTTGCAGTAGAAGTCCCACAGCCGGTCCTTGAAATATCTGTTTTCGATGCTAGACAAAGACAAAGATCCCCCGTGTATCCTTGAACACGACTGGTGGCCAACCATCCAACAAAGACTCTTGTCACTGCATCGCGCACATTCTGCGGTTGTCTGGAACGCCCTTACATCCAATATTAGGAAGGGACTAGAGCTATGGGGCCGTCCATAAATGACGCCACACACCTTGGGGGGGGGGGGGGTCAGACATTTGTGACGATGTGTGACGAGGGGGGGGGGTTTGAGAAATGTGACAACACGTTCTACTTAATAAATAGACTTTTTAATAAATGTTTTCTCCTACAACATCAGAGCGCAGAGCCACATTAAATACGCACTACAATGACAATAGTTTAAAGCGATTTGAAGCATGTTTTAAAAAAATTAGGGGGGGGCGAGCTTTGTGACGTAATATTTGAGGGGGGTCTGACTTTTTGTGACGCCGTGTGACTGGGGGGGGGGGGCAAAAATCGTCCAAAATCGCGTGGCGTCATTTATGGACGGCCCCTATGCAATCAATTTTAAATCATCTCGATTGAAAACTAATTTCTTTAGAAATGCGTTTTGAATTTAGTTTGTTGTCCTTCCCCCGCACCTCCGATTAGCACGGTTGGCCCCGCACGGTGAAAAAGACGTTCAACATACATACACATACCTCGAGGGGTGGTGGGCCAGCACCACGCTCAGCCACCTTTGTCTCTCAAGTGGCCATTATGACACACCAGGTACATATGCTGACACCGCCAATTAGCATGGTTGGCTACATACCGGGTGAAATAAGTTCAACATACATACATTCATGATTCAACCTCGGGGAAGCCCAGGACCCGTTCAGATAATCGTCACTGGTTTTGACTGTGAGCAGGAATCGAATGTGGCTCACCGATTTAAAGCTTTGGTGACTGTGTAGTGTTGTAAAGGACGGACTCTAAACTTCTTTATGGCACACACTGTTTATTATCTTAACACACAGTCTCCTGACCCTGCACAGCTCACACTCACTCTTCGCTCCTATTCTACGAAGGTACAGCCTTCGGACTTGCTGTCTATCTAATCTTCCCGCTAGCCTCGCGTCCTCCGGCTGGGACCTAGGGGAGGCACACTGACCTGCCGCTGGCCCGGCGGGTCCCCGACCTCTGGTCGCTCAGGACTTTCGCCCTCACAAGGGCGGGAAGGCTGGGAGCCAGGGTCCTATCCAGGACCTATCTCCCCTGACCACTGGTTACACTGAGCCCCAGCCCTGATAAGGGCTGGAAGGCTTGGTCCAGGGTCCTAGTTGTCTTCAGCCGACTTGAGTCTTCGTGTAGCAGAACTAACCAAGAGCTCTCAGCGCTCTGGCTTTTATACCTGTTCGTGACCGGGTAGTCCAATCCCCGGCCACCTTGTGGAACCCTCCGATTGGTCCTTCCCAATCTAGCGTTTGGATCCTACCTCACCCCATTTGACCCTGACCGTTTGAGTGGGAAAACCTTGTTTACGATCCACTCTCTCAGTTTGCGAGCAGCGAGTAGTTAACACCACTACAACTGCAAGGATTCATACTCTTAGTAATTTCGGTAAAGTCACGTAGGTAAAAAATGAAATTAAAAAATAAAATAAAAATCACGACGTTTCGGAGGCAACACAAGTCTCCGTCATCAGGTGGGACCGTCACAGCCAGATTTGCTGCATCAAGTGAGGCAGGGATTCAAGATGCAAGCTCTTAAATACAAGTTGAGGGGGAGGAGAGGGGGGGGAGCTTATCAGAATGTGGTAGCCAATGAATGGAACGTATCGGGAGGGGGGGGGGCTAAAAGACCGTGATGATAGGTACAAACTTAGTATTCATTGGAAAGATGTTATTAACCATGCAAAAAAGATTTAACTACACATTTTGGACCATCTTATCTGACAGGCACTATTTTACTTTACCGAGTGTTAACATCCCCAGCGTTTAACAGTACTCTCTTTATTGTCAGCCAACACTGGTATAAATGTAGTGTATGAACTTGGCGGGAGACGACTTCACGGGTTGCACACTCTTTATTAACACCAACTTATATTACACGGGTGGCTAACTGCAGCCTAACCCACGGGGTTCCCCTGGCTACAACCTCACAGGCTCTTACGCCCCGTAGCTTCTCGGAACCCACCCGGCTGGGGTGTCCGTCTCGACTCTGGGTCCCACAGCCTCGTCCCACATGGACGTCAGACCACGGGTCCCACAGTCTCGCCTCCGAGCCACACAGGGTCCCGGCCCTTACAAGGACAGCGGGACTAGGGGTCTTAGGGCCCTACCTCTTCAACTCCGTCTTCGATCTTCAACTGGTTATCAACTCTCCGAGTGCTCCCGCGCGTCCCCCTTTATAGTCCTCCATGCGGATGTCGCTGAGAGCACCCACCCCAGTTGACCAATCACTGCGCGCTGCCCACGATCCTATTTCCACATTGTGTCAGCGCGCACAACCACGCACCCCGCGCCGCCCCGTGATCCATCACTGTCGGCGCGCGTCAACACCACCACTCTTGATGTAGCCACGCCCGGCGCGCTCACACACACGCCGCCCCTTTGTCAGCGCGTACCGCCACTACATAAACATGGGCATTTTCGTTCTCTTCTATCATGTGCACCAACAGGTGCTTGTGCACAGGCATGTCCACGTACACGTGCACCCCGTACTCTCTTTTAGCCCCCCCCCTTCCAATACGTTATCATGGGCACCAACAGGGACTTGCGCACAAACACGTCCACGTCGACGCCTACGAGCACCTCGTGCTCTCTTTTAGCCCCGCCCCCCCCTGATACGTTCCATTCATTGGCTACCACATTCTGATAAGCCCCCCCCCCTCTCCTCCCCCTCAACTTGTATTTAAAAGCTTGCATCTTGAATCCCCGCCTCACTTGATGCAGCAAATCTGGTTGTGACGGTCCCACCTGATGACGGAGACTTGTGTTACCTCCGAAACGTCGTGATTTTATTATTTTATTTTTTATTAATTTTAATTTAATGTTTTACCTACGTGACTTTACCGAAAGAACTAAGAGTATGTGGCTCACCGAGTTCGTAGCGCAACGCACTAACCGTTGTGCTGCCGCTCCCAAAACGCAGACAAACACCCTCACTGATGTACACACTGATTGAGCTTTAATGCATCATGAGACTCACGACCCTGCAGAAGAAGAGTGGTTGCCACACCCTGAACACTGAGTTACCACATACCTAAGCAGCTTTTGTTTGGTTGGATAGAGGGGGGTAAAACGGGCGCGGCACGGGCGAGTGAAGAGATTGACTCGTGCTGTACGTGAGCAGATGGAGCTGAATGGATTTGCTGACGACTGGGACCCGCAGTGTCAAGATCGATCTCTATTGAGGAGACTCGCAAAGGACGCTGCTACTGGGCAGTTGAGGCAGTCGCTCTCCAGCAACAGCAGAGGGCATAGGAGTGACGCTCGCAACTACGAGTGGAGCGCAGGGGCTGATAAAAACACAGCAAGTTGGCACAGTGGGGGGGGGGGGGCACAGGTGGTGCATCAGCCAGTCATCTCAGTCAATCAACGCATGGCACCTGAGTCTACCCCGTGACCTCCTGCCAGCGAGCCGTCGACACTTCAGGTGGCCTTAAATTGCACATCGGCTGGCACCGGCGCCGTGGTGAGTGGGCGGCTGTATTGTTGAGGGAGGAGTGCTGTGGTGGTTAGCGCGACACTGCACCACAAACCAGGCAACCTGAGTTCGATGCCTGCTCACGGCCACCAACACCAGTGGCGATTATCTGAACCATTCTTATGCCTCCCCTAGGTCGACTCAGCCTCAAATGAGTACCTGGTGCGCTGTGTAGTAGACGTCGCCGCTGGGGAGACAAAGGCGGCCGGGTGTCGTGCTAGCCACCTAACCCCACGTGTGACACAGTGCTGGCCTTCATAGGTGCTACTACTCGCTAACAGCACCTGCCCCAACAGTCTGTTAAAGGCTATACGGGGGATCTTTGTCTTTGTACCTGTAAATGAGGTAGATGGACTGGTGATCGGGACAAGAGAAGTCGATGGGGTTGTCATATGAATTCACGAAACGTTTGTGCAGTGACCGCAGTCCATTGCCATCTGCACGGAACATGGACGGGGCAATGAATATCAGCACAGCAGTGAATCACACTGAACAGAGAATATCAGGGAACACGAATCTCAATAGACAGTTAATCCCACTAACAGTGAATCCCTAGAGACACCAAAGATGAAAAACAATCTCCATAAACAAATTATGTAAAAAATCAAATGAATTTCAATACAGTGAATCTCAAGGGGAAAAGCCTCGTAGGCCGCGGAGTATGTCAATGGGAGAGTGGTGGTAGGAGACTTGCAGCCGAGCAAAGAATCCATTCCCTGCTTACTCTTAGTACCTTTCACGCGACGGTCAATGGTATAGTGTATAGCAGATTGTATAATAATAAATAGTATAAAAGTGTAATGTTGAATATAATGTATAAGGTAATATACAATATCGTTATTGTATAGTGAATATACAGCAGTGTGGTATACAGTAGGGTGGGTAGAATAATACATAGTGTAATATTACAATGTATAGTAATACAGTATATAATTTAATGTTGGGTTTGTCTATGGCAGTATATAGTACGGGGTAGACCCGTGTGATGTAAGAGAAAAAAGTTTAGCTGGAGGCATATTATATTTTTTGCGACATAGAATTGTAATGTATGACTTACTGTTAGTAGCTCAGCTTATTGGAGAGTATATTTAGTATACTGATGATACTGATGTAGTTTATCTTTTAGTTTTTTACGTGGTGGTTTAGTTGCTGCAGCTCCATACTATTATCATTCCTTCCCTTTATTAATGCTAACTCTACTCCCTCCCTTTGATGCTTCTAATCCTGCATAATGCACGGGCATAATATGACTTTGAAACCCCCCGCCCACCTCCTACGCATTCCACAAGTAGTGACTAATCCCATATCTGCATTTCCCATAAATATGCTAAATTCTTCTTGATATGCAAATTCCTTTGTCAAGGCGCTCTTCCCCCTCCAACCCAGCTTAAATATACGCCGCCAAGCCTGGTGGTGTTCATTCAGACGCTGTCTTTCCGACAGACCTGTTCTTCACCTGAGGACGGCTGCTTGCGTTGTGGCCGAAACGTCGTGAGAATTATTGTATTATGTTTTAGTTGTATTATTTTATTATTTCCCTTCTACGTGACTTTACTGAAAGAACCAAGAAGATGAATCCCTGCAGTCACGAAAGCTTTAAATCAACAAGCATGTTTGTTCCGCATGTATTACCTCAAGCATGATGTGTGGTTAATGCAGACTTCATTATGCCTTGTGATCGGTGTCTATTTGGTGTTTGAACATCGCAACACCTCCTGTATTGTTATTATTGCCGAGGGTTAATCGCTGTGTCGATTCATTGCCGACCCATGGCTTGAGTAATCCCATTAGTAAAACTTCCCGCGGAACGTGTGTTTACGGTAGACGGTGGTTAATCTTGCACTGGTCAACACACTTTTGCGGGCATAAGGTATTTTGGGGTGCTGATTCCAAATCTGGCATCAGTTTTTGTCTATCACATCAGGTTTTTGAGATATCAAATATTGCATTTTCAATAAAAACTGCAGAAGAAAAATATTAAATAAATGTGGATATCTACATAAAATGATATTATAAACACACTATCCTAAAAATGCAGCACCATATTTTAACACTAAAGCAGTCACTGACTCGCAACAACTTGCAATCATAAGTGACAGAGTTAATTTCGGGTAAAATCAATGAAAATGGGGTATGCCGATAGCATAAAATGAGATGTGAGAGCAAATCTGAGATCAGATTTGGAATCAGCACCCTGAAATTAGTCTAAAACAGCTGCAAAAGTCAAGGCCAGATATTTTTTTTTATATGTCACTATCATTAAAAGTTATAGGTGTTTTATTTATAAAATGCTTTAACACATGTATCATGTGTACAGTATCATTAAGGCTATTACAAACCTGTCAACCGCTCATCAGTGCCGACCTTATTACAGACCAATTCAGACCTTATTGGTCACCCCGTGCCCTTATAAATCTCAATGTTCATCCTACAAAGTCCCATCACAGGGGAGAAACACAAATAGACACAATTTTCGTTGTTGCCCGTATTGAAATGGCTGTATGCCATCTGCACCTAAAAACACAATTTCAATGTCCAAGAATACGAGGTAAACCGTATGCGTTGACAGGTTTGCTATTACGGATACCCCAATGAAGCCATCGTATATCGCTCATAGGTTGAACAAAATAGCGTTCATAAGTTTAAAAAAACCTTCTATAGCGCTGTTTCCTATTGCACTCCGTTTACCAAGAAGGCATCCTGAGTGGTATAGCAGGTTATGCCTCTTTTTAAATCCTTTATATTAAGTTCGCTTGCTTGCTTGCTTGCGTGCTTGCGTGCTTGCTTGCTTACGACCGTGCAAATATTTCGGTCGTTTTTTAACCCACTTCCCGTGATACAATCGAGCTGACATTTTCCACACAGACTCGTTGTGCGTGACAATTTATTTTCGTGAAAAAAAATTCCCAAATTTTACACTGTTTAGGGGGGTAAAAAATATTTAATTACCAATTGCTTAATGTTGGCAGACAATCATCTGACCCATAGGTGGCAGCCATCTCAAGCCAGAGGACGAGAGGACTCTAGCCGCCACGCATATAAAGGATTTAGAGTGAAAAACTTTGTTTTTACGGGTAAATTTTTGTGCTGATGATGATGCTGCTATTGATAATGCTGTTTGATGATGATGCTGATGACAGTGATGGCTGCACTCACTCAGGGGTTGCGCCTCTTTGCCGACCACCAGAGCCAGGAGAAGGAGGAGAAGCAGCATGGTCGTGATGGATGAGGGTTGGGAAGTGGAATGTTGTGGCTTCTCCCTCGTGAACCCCCTCCCCTTTAATAGAACCCCGTGACTGCAATCTCCAACTCTTGCACCACCGCTCGGCCAACGCTGAGTGAGCGAGTGGCAAAGTCTAATCGCGGATAATTTATTCGCCTGCTTCACTAATCTCCCCACTATGTAAACAAAACATCTTATTGTTGTTAAACGAGTTTGTGTACACATACAATCAACCTCAAATGTGTTCTTGTCAGACTGAGTTATGGGTTAAATACGGTAAGTCCTTGCTTAATGAGTGGTTTTCACACGATGCTTCATCGCTACAATGCGGTTTTTACATTAGCGAACACTTTTCCCACAAGGCGGTAGGTCAGAGGAGTGACACTCACAACAACGAGCGGAGCGCCGGGTGAATAAAACACCAGCGATTCAGCACATTAGGAGGCACAGGTGGTGCATCTGCCAGCCATCTCAGTCAACCAACGGCACCTGCCAGCGAGCCTTCGACGCTTCACGTGGACTCGGAGTGCACCTAGCCTGGCACAAGTGCCGTGGTGACACCACAGACACGATGTTGTTGTGGGTACGGGGGTGTGTGGCGGGGGAGCGGTAGTGGTCAGCTTGCTGCACTACGAACCCGGTTATCCCAGTGATGATTATTTGAATCGGTCCTGGGCCTCCCCTAGGTAAACTCAGCCTCAGATGAGTACCTGGAGCCATTGGGAAGACAAAGGCAGCCGGGTGTTGTTGCTGGCTATGATGGCCGTGCCCGGCCTTCCTAGGTACTACTACTCGCGAGCAGCTAGGCAACACGGCGGACCCGTGTCTTTGTCTTTATACTCAAGTTTCGATTGGTTTATTCATTGCGGGACGCTCACAATAAGTGACCGGGTGTGTGGTTCCCTCTGTAGTTTGTCTACTTTCTGTAGCAGGTTGCATTCTCTCTGACACACAACGCTAATATTTGCCAAGAGATAGGGGAGACTTTGTGTCCACATAGCGTGTTTAGTGAGTTTTAAAAAGACAGGTCACCCACAGCAACCAATGGTTCGTGTGGTATTTTGAATCATAATTCGCAACCATTTCAGAATCTTCAGATATCAGGAGGCAGGGTGGTAACACTCGTGCGCCTACGACAAAAACGGGCCTCGGTTCGATCTCTGACTCAGATTCCTTTCTGTGTGGAGTTTGTATGTTCTCCCCCTGTTCTACACAGTGACAGTGAGTGGAGTGTGTATGATCTACCTCGATTCTACAGAATGACAGTGAATAAGTGGAGTTCGTATGATCACCGCCTGTTCTACAGAGTGAGCGTGATTGAGTGGAGTTTGTATGATCTCACCCTCTTTTATAGAGTGTGAGTGAGCGGAGTTCGTATGATCTTCCTTTATTCTACAGAGTGACAGTGAATAAGCGGAATTCGTATGATCTCCTTCTACTCTACAAAGTGAGAGAGTGAGTGGAGTTCGTATGATCACCACTTGTTCTACAGAGTGAGTGAGTGGAGTATGTATGATCTCTCTATTTTCAACAGTGTGAGTGGGTGGAGTTTATATGATCTCCCCCTGTTCTACAGAGTGAAAGTGAGTGAAGTTCGTATGATCTCCTTTTCCATAGAGTGAGAGTGAATAAGTGGAGTTGGTATGAGCTCTCCCTCTTCTATAGAGCTTGAGCGGAGTTTGTATGATCTCCCTCTTATCTACAGTCAGAGTAAGTGAGTGGAGTTAGTATGATATCCCCCTGTTCTACAGAGTGACAGTGAGGGGAATTTGTATGATCTCCCCCTGTTCTACGGAGTGAGTGTGAGTGAGCAGAGTTTGTATGATCTCGCTCTATTCTACAGTGAGAGTGAGTGAGTAGAGTTTGTATGATCTCTCTCTGTCAAGCTGAAGGCGCCAGAGAACGGTGGCAGCCCACCCCCCTCCTCTTCCTTCCCGGAGTTGTGCTTCTCCTGCATGCAGCCCCCTGGCCACAACGACTCCAGGAACTTACTGAAACTCGGAGGCTGCAGGAACGTGCCCCAGCAGAAGGGCGCCCCAGAGAAAGAGCTCTACACGTGCTGCGTCAAGGCGCTGAATTCCCGGGACCTGGCCTACCTACCAGACACAAATTGGAGAGATCATTTCTCTCCCCTCATTGTGGCCACCCCCCAGCGGAAACAAATGTACAGGTAGTCCTCTACTTACGATGGAGATGCGTTACGACGACCCCATCGTAAGTCGAAAATATCGTAAGTCGAAGATGACCTAGCCTACCCAGGAGGCAAAACAGAGCAATTTACAGTACCGTACTGTATTAACTATATACTGTATGTATTTATTAATGACAATACTGTATTGCACAGTAACATTTAAAGTTAAAAACAAGGTAAATTCTTAGCCTACCTATATGAACTCAATTTAATCGAAAGTTTTTTCAGGAAACAATCCTATCTGCTATAAAAACTTTTAACATGCATTGAACGTATCGTATCGTGGTAACCTAGAAATGAAATCGCTAAAGCTACGTATCATTCATGCTTTGAACGTATCGTAACATATCATATTGTATTGTACTCACCAAGATTCTGTCCGTCGTCTGCATGCTTGAACGATGTTAGGTTGTTGATGGCAATTTTGTCGTATCGCCATCGTAAGATCGAAATATCGTAACCCGGGGACTACCTGTACAAGTCTCTCGTAGCCAAACACTGCAGTGACCTCCGGTGGAAATTGGCACACTGGACATTGCCATCAGCCGTGTGGCTCAGCCGAATCTCCCCGGGGGTGCCAGACGTATGCGCTTTCTGCGGTGCCAGGGAAGATCTGCCCCAACAGTACTTACGCTGCCAGCGGCTCAACCCAATGTTACACCTTTTGGGAACCATTTTCAGGAGACTGGGGGTGCCCTTCTACAACATCTGATTCATATGTGGGGTACCTTACCTGGCTGACAAAGCGCAACGATCTCGCCAACTTCGTCTGTGCCAAGCGAAGATGGCAGTGGACAAGACGAGGAAAACTATGCTGCAAGGCGACACTGATGGCTGCTTTGTGGTGCCAGCATTCAGGGGCCTGCTCAAGGCATGGCTCCGCTAGAGCACGCATACCACTGAAATGCCAGTGACGCGCGAGTCTTCTCCGAACGCTGGAGGGCCGGACAAACCCTCTGCACCAATGTGAACGGCACCCTCCTTTTCACCTTCTAACGTGCTCGGTCGTCGAGCATGGCGTGCGCGACGACCACGTGCCGTTTTTGTGTTGTGCATGGCGCGTTCAGCGCCATGTGCCGCAGCTCGTGTTTTTTATTGTGTTAGGTTATTTGTTGTTTGTGACTTTTTTTCGTATTCAAATCGCCTCCCTGGCACAGCTATTGCACTGGAGGCGATGTAATGAGAGATCGCCATCTAATGGTCAACAAGGTGTCTAAGCCGAGCTATGTTGTGTAAATGTAAAAATGTGATTTAGTACCTATACACTATTTTGACCAGGTAAGGCCCACTTAGGTATTATAGCTCTGGCTATCACAAATGATTGCCTTGTCATGTCAAAAATTATCGTAGCAGCCAAATACGCCAAACGCGTTACGTTGATTCTAAATGTGGAGGGAAAAACCAGAGGAATCAAAGAAAAAGCCACGCGAGAGAGACGCAAACTCCAAATATACAACAGGCATCCTCATGGTGAGTCTATGGGTCTATGTGAATATATGGGTTTCTGTGTAATCAGTTTAGATTATTTTGCTGCTATTATAAGCCACTTCGTTGAGCTATCGTTTGTCGTCAGGTCGCTTCTGAAAAAATACCACATAGCTCAGTGTGTTTTACCTGGTAAATAAAGAATAGTTTGGTTTGGGCATGAGGAACAGGTTTTGTGATAAAGTCATACCTCGGTATACGACCGCTTTGGAATACGTCTAATTTGATATACGTCGTTATTGACGAGCAAAAAATGTCTTGGGATACGTCTTGCTTGGGATACGACGCGCTTGCTAGAACTTGTATGGGTCGGGATGAGTCACCGCGTACCTGCATATGCCCCGTGCTCGACTGAAACAAAGCGCCACTCCTGAGTCTGCCTGTACAGTAGATCTCATTCAGTGCACAACCCTTGCTATAACTCTCAAATCAAACTTCAATGGACAGGTTTTTAGTAAAACTCAACCCTGGTAAGCCTCAACCAGGTCCAAGTCAAGAAAAAAGACAGAAAAAGAAAGAGAAAAAAACCCCAGAATTTCAGCTTCCTGAAGTTTTAATGGAAGGGGTGGGGCTGGGTGGGGAGGGAAGGGTGGGGACGGGCTGGGTGAGGAGGGTGGGGAGGGGCTGGGTGGGGAGGGGCTTGGTGGGGAGGGTGGGGCAGGGTGGGGGAGGCTGGTCACCCCGTGGTGCCCTTATAAAACTCAACGTTTAACCTACTCACGCCGGCTTGTGCCCGCCCTCACAGTCGGGCATATTTGCGGAATACACCACGCCGCCGTTGACCCTGGCCATTGACCGAGCAACCCAACGTTCCTACCAGCTCCCTCCGCATGAATGTGTTTTAATTCGCGATTTAGTGCTGTTTTCGTTTATTTATTTATTACATGGGCGCTCGCCCATACCAACTCACACGCGTTCCGTGGGGGGGGGAAGGGGGATTTCTCTTTCGTCTGGACACTGCCCAAGGTAACACACACGGATTCACAGCTCCCTTCAAACATACATCTATATTATTTCTCTCATTTCTATTGTTGACTTTTTAAGAATACAGCGTACACATTAACCAATTTTTTTATGACAGTTAATATACACCATGTAACACGCGTTTTCCCCTGAGTACTAACTGTTATATTTAATTTCCTTAACACAACAAAGTCCAGCCAATGCGTCTTTTTGCCCACAAACTTTCCTGTTGTGAGCAGGACTTCATGTCAATAACTATTATCACTTTGTTCATATTTATTTCACGCTTTCGCTCGCCGCTAAATTTTAAAACAAGATGTTTGTTGACAGTACATATACACTATGTTACACGCTTTTTTCCCCAGCATACTGACTCTTCTATTTCATTTATTTAAGACAGCGAAGTGCCGCCATTGTGTCTTTTGCCTCACAAACTTCCCTCTTGTA